ATGTATCAAGGGCAGGACTCCAGTTTCCCAGAACTGTAGATACATCAGGTAAACACCGAACACTAGAAAGTCTTAAAGATCTCTTAATCATATCTCTGGCCAAATCTCCGCATGTGATTTTGTTTTTGTTTTTTGTAACTCCGGGGGACTCAAACCCAGGGCCTGATGCATGCTAGACAACTGTTCTATGACTTTCCTACATTCTCAGTTCTCATAAGTTTCAATACAGTAAGCCAGAACTGTACTTTTCTATCTGGCCCCTCCTGCCTTATGATTACAAAGTAAAGATAAACTGAACTTTAGTTAATATCAGCACTACTTGACCGAAGAGAATTGAAATGGTACAATTCACAAATGCCTTTTTCCATTAAGGAATAAAAAAATATATCGAAGAGATATCATTGTCACAATCCAAGAAGAGACGAGAAAGGCGAAATGGAAAGCCTTGGGACAGAAGCTTGGAGAGTGGTCTGGAGGGCCAGGAGTGCACAAGTTTTAACAACTCCAACATCTGGCTGCCATTCCAAGCAACTTCTTCCCAACCTCCTCAAACTGATGAAGGTGATATTTGATGCATTCTTGGCCTAACGGTGCTGGCAGGATATCAAATATGGAAGTGCAAGTCTCTCCCAGGTAATGAAACCCTGATTAGCACAGCCACATAAATGCCATCTCACCCTATACAAACTGCCATCAAAGTCCCTCACAGGCCTTTTCCCAGAAAGCACCCCTAACCCACCAGTCTACATTTCGGAATCTTTTCTTCCCCTTTCTTACTCAAGAAACTCAATACTAACTCCAGGAGTCAGACTCTGCCACCATGCTCCAAATGACACTTCTCTGGCCTGGCCTGGCCCCCCTGGTCCAACTCGGAAGATATTCTGCTCTTGTGCATCTCCGGAAGCACGCCTATCCCTACCCCACCGCCCTTCCCGTACTGTTTCCTCCCCAAGTTTCCTGGGTTGGTCTTCCTGGGCACCACCACGGCAGGCCGACCTCCTTCCCCTCACCTCCCCACTCCTCCTCCCTTCAACCTCGCCCCCGTCCCTTGCCCCCAATCCCGTCCCCGCCCGCCCACAGTCGCCATCTTCCCGCGCGACCCCGCGCTCCCCAGCCCGCGCGCTCACCGTTCTGGCGGCGAGGCCCGTGCGCTTGTCCCACAGGAAGTCCGTGATGGCGGCGGCACTGCGGCCGGAGTCCCGGCACCCCCGCGGCGACGAAGTGCGGCTCCACCCCCCCAACCCGGGACCCTGGGCCCTCCCGCCCCGTTCCCGGGCTCTGCGCCAGTCCCGCCCGCCCCGGCTCCGTCCCCGCTCCCAGGATCCGCTGGGCGCCGCTCGCACCGCCCCCGCCCGGGGCCCGATCCCAGCTCGGTCTCCGGCTCCGGCCTCTCCGCTCCGCCGCCGCCGCCGTGAGCGAGCACGTACGCACGCGCGTACGTCCTGCGTCGCCTCCCAGCTGCCCCTGGGCTCCGCCCCCAGGGCCGCGCGCGCCACCACGTGCTCAATAGTTCTTGGGCGTGGGCAAGCCCGGCCCAGGGCGGAGGTGCTTAGTGCGGAAGTTCGTGCGCCAGGGAGGGGTGGGCGCCCCGTCTCCTGTCCTTTACCATCCTTCCTCACTCTTGTATTTTTCCTACAGGTATCTGTGGCTCGCTCAGCGTTGAAGATTTAAAAGAAAGGAAAAAAAGTATCACAAAGTATCTTTGTTAGTCAGCTATGACTCTGGTTAGTGAGACTTGGTGGTCAGGTCTGATTCTCCAGCATAGCCTGAAAACACGCATTTTTTAAAACAGTTCACTCACCTAACCCCAGCAAAGAAAGGTTCCCACTTTTCGTTTTGAACTGAAGTTATACATGTATGGTGGGTGTATGGCTGGGAAGAACAGGGGAGAACTGAGTACCGAAGGAGAGTAATCACTTGAAAACTAGATCTGGGCTGGGGATTTAGCTCAGCGGCACAGCGTCTGCCTGGCAAGCGCAAGGTCGTGAGTTCGCTTCCCTGTACCGGAAAAAAAAAAAAAAAAAAAAGAACTAGCTCTATGTCCTTTACATGATGAGTACTAAGTATATATTTACTGAATTTTTTTCTTTTTTGGACTTTTTTGAGAGAGGTTTCACTATGCAGTTCAGGCTGGCCTCGAACTCACAGCCGTCCTCCTACCTCAGCCTCCCAGTGCTGGGATTACAGGCGTGCGCCACCACGCCTGGCTTGTTTACTAAATTTTAAAGAACCGGAAGGAAAACAAGCAAACCAGATGAAGAGATTTAAAGAAAAAACTGAGGTGGTGGCACACGCCTGTAATCCCACCCCTCTGGAGGCTGAGGCAGGAGGATCATTGCGAATTCCAGACTAGCCTGGGCTACAAAGTGAGCTCAAGGTCCGCGTGAACTGCATAATGAGACCCTGTCTCAAAAAGACAAAAAACTAATAATAATAATTATTAATTAATTAATTTAAAAGGGCTAGGAATGTAGCCTTGGATTCATTCTCCAGTACCAAGGTGAAAAAGAGAGAGAGGGAAAGGAAAATTGGAAAGGAAACAATATAACCTGAAGATAGCAAAGGAAAACTGGAAGGGTAACAACTTGAAGATAACAAGGGAAAACTGGAAGGGCAACAAAATAGCCTGAAGATAACAAAGGAAAACTGGAAGGGAAACAAAATAACCTAAAGAAGGCCAGGAATATAGCTCAGCGCCATAAGTGCCTGCCTGGCAAGCTTGAGGTCATGAGTTCAATTTGCAGTACCCAAAAAATAAAATAACCTAAAGATACAGTCGTGCTGGCACACCAGAACTCCAGCACTCAGGAGACTGAGGCAGTAGGATCGCTGAATTTGAGCCAAGCCTGGACTACATAGCAAGATCTTGTCTCAAAAAAAAAAAAAAAAAGTGAGAAAGAAAGCTCTAGACTACAACAGTGTTTCTAGGTTTTCTAGAGGAGGTGAAATCTGAAACAGCTGTTGGAAAGTGAATTGGAAATTACCAAATAGAGAAAAATTAGTATTTGTGAAGGTCTGGAAACAAGACAGAACAATGCATCTCAGCAGGATGCATCCCTAGCTTTCCAAAGTTGGGTTGTCAGCAGAGAGGTACTAAAACTAGGTCCAAATTTTGCAGTACCTTAGTTTGTCATGGTAAGGGACTTAAATATGTTTGCTTGTTTGTTTGTTTGTTTGTTTGTTCCAGACAGGGTCTTGCTATGTAGTTCAGGCTGAGCTTGAATTCACTATGTAGCCCAGGCTGGCCTCCAGCTCATGGCAACCCTCCAGCTTCAGCCTCCCAAGTGATAGGATTACACCACTATGCCTGGCTTGGTGTTTAAATATGATTTTATGGAGAATTTTGAAGGACTTTACACAAGTGATACAGATACATTTGAATTTTCTTTTTCATCCAGTTTTTATTATTAGTTATGCTTCAGGATTCTGGGGTAAAGACCATCATATACCCAGGTCCCTCTTTGTTACTGAGGAAAAGGACAGAGAAGCAGGGTGGAGCCAGTTCAGATCTCTCATCCCAGGCTGCGACCCAGGGCACAGAGCAGAAGGACCTGCACACATGCTGGTGCCAGTAGTGCACAGACTGGTGAGAGTCCAGGTAGTTGTGCCAGCAGTACCTGGTCTGCTTCTAGTTAAGGAAGCTGTCAAAAGGAGTAGTCTTGGGCTGGAGATATAGCTCAGTGGCATAAACGCCTGCCTCGAAAGCACAAGGTCCTGAGTTCAAGTCCCAGTACCAAAAAAAAAAAAAAGAGTAGTCTTGCAGTTCTTGATTTTGGTCTCACTTTCTGAGCTGGTGCTGACTCCTGAAGAGGACCCTGAAGCAGTATAACCTCAGCAAAAATCTCAGTGTCAAGGGCCAGGGATATAGCTCAGTGGCAAAAGCACCTGCCTGCCAAGCCCACCAAGCCCAAGGTCCTGAGTTCGATTCCTGGTATCAAAAAATAAATAAATAAATCTCAGTGTCAGGCAGGGAGCTGAATTAGAGAGGAAGCTGGGAGAGTATAAAGAGTTGTGGTGGTGGACGCCTATAATCCCAGCACTTCGGATGCTGAGGCAGGAGGATCGTTGCAAGCTCGAGACCAGCCTGAACTACAAAGTGAGCTCAAGTCCAGTCTGAACTGCACAGTGAGACTCTGTCTCAAAAAGACAAAAAAAGTAAAATAAAGAGTTGAGACTGGTGCAGTGATGCAGTGCCTCTAATCCTAGCATTTGGAATGCTGAGACAGGAGGATCTCCAGTTTGAGGCCAATCTGGGCAAATTACAGAGACCCTGCCTCAAAATAAAATATACAAGAGCCAGGAATGTGGCTTAGTGGTACAGCACCCTTGGTTCCATCCCAGTACCTTTTAAAATTGGGGCCGGGGGAATTGAAGGCTCTTTTAGAGGTCTCTGAAATAAATTAAGTGGAAAAAAAGTGCTGAGGGCTTGAAATAGAGCAGTGGCAATAAGAAACGAAGACAAAGAGGAACGCGGCATATTTCCAAATGTCCAGCACCTACCATCCCACAGTACCCTAAATGCCTGTTCTTGGTTTGTCCTCGGACCCAGATGGGCAGCGGCTGTAAGGCTAGGGCCTTTGCACTCTGCGTTGTGTGCTCAGCATCCACGCGATGGCGGGCAGCGTTGTCTTTGGTGAGGGCTGGAGGGACGCATTAGGAGTGTGCTAGCTGTGCTAGCTGGAGCGACTAAGGGGCTTAGAAGGGAAGAATATGCCTAGGACAGTGCAGAGAGGAGACGGAAACGGGACAGAAAACCGTGGGTCCCCAACCCCTCACCCTCTCCGGAGCTGCACAACCCAGGCCGGATTTCCCGCCACTTGCGGGCGGCCCCACCTCCCGGCTCTCAGTGGGTAGAGCCTGAGAGTTCTAGGCCACGCCCTGGCCACCCCCCGTGCTCCTCAGCGGTCCCTGGGCCGCGAGGCCACACCCACCTCGGAGTCCCCCCACCCCCAGTCTGCGCGTGGCCCCGCCAGGGGGCGCAGGATTGCGCGCCGCGCGTCTGTCGCACACACCCCCTCCGCCCCGCGCGCCGGCAGTTCCAGCCTGCGAGGCGAGGCTCCCAGCCCCGGGCTGCGCCGGCTCCCAGTGCCAGGGGTTGGGGCTCAGGATGGCGGCGGCGGGGTCCTGGCGGCCGGGCGCGTAGGCGGCAGGCGTCATGGAGGCGGAGCAGCGGCCGGCCGCGGGGGTCGGCGAGGGGACGACCCCTGGGCTGGAGGCGGTGCCTCCCACAGCTCCCACGCCGACCGCCGCGGCCTCGGGTCCGACCCTTGGGTCCGCGTCCGAGCCGAAGAGGAGGCCGCTCGGGACTCTGCTGCAGCCCACGGTCAACAAGTTCTCGCTTCGGGTGTTCGGCAGCCACAAAGCAGTGGAAATCGAGCAGGAGCGCGTGAAATCGGCGGGGGCCTGGATCATCCACCCCTACAGCGACTTCCGGTACTGGGGGCCTGCAGGGAGAGGGGACACCGATCCCACCCCACGGGCAGCGACGCAGGTCCAAGCCCGCCCCACCCTCCGCTGTCACCCAGGTGTCCCGGGCGAGACAGGAGTCACCTACCCCGACCTAGCCCGGGAATTCCTGGGCAGGATATCCCCGGCCACAGGTCCGACGTGACTTGTCAGGGATTTCCAGAGACCTTGTATTTCTAGTGTCAGCAACCCAGAGCCCCTCTGGACCCCCTCTGGACCGGAGACTACCGAGTCTGGAGCCTCTGCGTCCTGCAGTCCTGTTGGTTGGCATCTGGGAAATTATGTCGTATCCCAAGACCCAGGGTCAGCCTGCGGGAGAAGCCTAGCTCCGCTCTGTCCCATTCTCACCCCTAGCACCTGCCCCATCAGCGGAACAGGTTGCCTGGAAAAAATAGGAGCGCTGGAAAGGGTAGGGGGCCAGACCGCAGCTCGGTTGCTGTCCTTGGTGCTGACGGCGGGGTGCGGCGGGGCGGGGCCAGTTCCCAGCGACTGGGCCCCGTGCGACCACCGCCCCACCGCCCAGCGACTCCCGGAGAGGAGGAACGGAGGGTGGGGGTAGGGCCTTTTCACAGTCCCTATCAGACTGTACCTCTACATCAAGGTCGCTAGGGGAGGAGAGCAGCCCTGTCCTTGGGGGAAATGAAGGACAGTTTTTGGAGGAGGTGGAGGTGTGTGCAGCGGGGAGAGAAGAAACGGGATGAGGTGTGAGTCTGGAGGCTGGAAACACAATCGCAGACCCAGACATTGTCGGGAATCCAGACAAACACTCTCCCTAAATGTTGCTCTTCTTCCCATTGTCTCTTGGCTTCTCCTGCCTCACTCCCCGCGTCGCGCACCTTTTCTGGTCTCCCGTGGTGCTGTCCCTCTCTTCCTGCAGTTCACCTTCAGACACAGCCCCAGAAGCTGTGCGCCCCTTAGGATGCACTTCTTCCCCATCCCCTCTCCTGCATCACCCGCTGGGCTTGTGACCGCCGTGAGTCAGGCTGTGAAGATCCTCTGCTGGTTAGGCAAACCCTCCTTCCCTCCCTCGCCCAGCGTCTCACAGCTCAGGATTTCTCCTCAGCAGCCCGGGAGAAAGGGGGAGGGGGTGCAAGGGTTTGTTGTTGAATGAAAGCTCACAGCCTGAGAGGTTTCCTGGAGGCTGGACTTGGGAACCACCCAGAGTCTTGGAGGGGCTAAAAAAAAAAATTGATTTGACAGGCAGTCAGGAGGGGCTGTATCCTGGGCTTATGCTGGGATTAGATGTGTCCTAGAATTAAAATCACTATAGGAAATTGAGTCCCTCAGATTATCCAATGATTTTCGTCTGAATGAGGCTTCCCCCAGCTCCCTCCTGACCTCTTCTTTGCACAGCTTCTGCCACAGCAGTGCAGTCTCCCCTGCGCATGCCCTTGCTTGGCTCAGCCAGAGTCCAGTGGGCACAGGGAGGTGAGAGAAGGAAAAGAACACAGAGATCAAACTGTGCTGCCTCAGGATCCCTTGCGGAACTCCTCTGTGTGTGCGGCACCCACCCCAGGTGCTGGGAGGGGAGGGACATCCTCAGAAAGCTCAGTTCAGACGGGAGGCGGGAAAACCACCCCTACCCTGGGACAGGGATGAGCAGGTTTTCATGGAGAAACAGGATTCATGGGTCCAACTGTGCTGGCGAGGAGGAGTGGGGTGGGGAAGGCTGAGGAGTACAAGAAGTCCTAGGCTAGGAATGGGCAAAGAGCTGGTGATGAGAAAAGCAGCAACCTTTTCAGAGGTCTGCAAAAAAAGGGTGGGTGAGTCATAACACCAACTAGGGCTTCTATAGCACTGTTACATCCATTGTCTTATTGGAAATTTTTCCAACAACAATGTGATATTAGCCCAGGGCACTGTATCTATAAATTTTTCCTTTTTGGGGGGTTACTGGGAATCAAACTCAGGATCTTGCGCTTCCAGGCAGTGTTTGTGCTGCTCAGCTATATCCCCAGCCCTTTATCTTTAAATTTTAAAAAAAGGTTTGATAATGATGCATAAATATTACATAGTAATGATCATGTAATAGCTATCTGTGTTACTAAATTGCTGAATTGTCTAGGCTGGGCTCAAACTTGGGATCCTCCTGCCTCAGACTTCCATGGTGCTGGGATTACAGGCATGTGCTACCGCACCCAGTTCACTTGTCTGTTTTATTTTGTTTTTTTGAGACAGAGTCTCCCTATGTAGTTCTGGCTGCCCTTGAACTCACTATGTGTCCCAGGCTGGGCTCAAACTTGCAGCAGTCCTCCTGCCTCAGACTCCTGAGAGTGCTGGGATTACAGGCATGTGCCACCATGCCCGGCTATTTACATTTTCTCCTAATGGACATCTGGGTTGTTCCCAAATTTAGTCCCACTATGAGCATTCCCACACATTTCTCCTGGAGCATATGTTTCCTTTGGGTGTGTATACACCTAGGAAAGGAAGTTCTGGGTGGCAAGAAATGCGAATGTTAGCCTTTACCAGATAATGCTGACCTGTTTTCCAATTAGTGGTCCCAGTTTCACTCCCAGGGGCTGTAAATGGTCATTCTGTATTCTGTATTCTTGCCCACTCCCAGCCATGCCAGACTAGCTTCTGTCAGTCTAGTGGCTGATGAGATATCACGGTGGTCTTAGTGCCCATCCTACTCCCACCTTAGGTTTTACTGGGACCTGATCATGCTGCTGTTGATGGTGGGGAACCTCATTGTACTGCCTGTGGGCATCACTTTCTTCAAAGAAGAGAACTCTCCCCCTTGGATTGTCTTCAATGTCCTCTCTGATACTTTCTTCCTACTGGATCTGGTGCTCAACTTCCGTACGGGCATTGTGGTGGAGGAGGGCGCTGAGATCCTGTTGGCACCTCGGGCCATCCGCACACGCTACCTGCGTACCTGGTTCCTGGTTGACTTCATCTCCTCCATCCCAGTGGATTACATCTTCCTGGTGGTGGAGCTGGAGCCCCGGCTGGACGCTGAGGTCTACAAAACAGCTCGGGCCCTGCGCATTGTTCGCTTCACCAAGATCCTCAGCCTACTGCGGTTGCTCCGCCTCTCCCGCCTCATCAGATACATACACCAGTGGGAGGAGGTGGGGCAGGGAGGTGGGCAGGGGGCTCACAGACCCCTCAAGGGCAGGCTGTATGGGTGGGGTTCCTGGTGACTTTATGGGGTAGGGCAGTCGGGTGGGCCTTCCATGGGTGAGTTCTTTCCAAAACCGGTGAGGAAGAAGCAGGGATAGAATAAGGGTCTGGATAATGAGGCCTGCAGTGGGGATAGGCAGCAAGAGGGTGGAGCCCAGCAGCTAGACAAACACATTAGGGTTAGTTGATTCTGAGTAGAAGATGGGGTACAGAGAAGGCTGTAGCTGTATCTTCAGGGCAAGAGCTTAATAGTTCATGGTAGAGCCTCTCAAATCACATTGCCTGTGGTCATATCCCAGGCTTATTATTCACTAATATATGAGGACTTGTTTTCCTCTTCTTTAAGGTGAAAATATTACACTTTGGTTTTAAGAACTGAAGTAGTGGCCTGTAATCCCAGCACTTGGGAGGGTGAGGCAGGAGGATCATTGCCAGCTCCAGGTCAGGCTGGGTTACAAAGGGAGTTCAAGGCCAGCCTGAACTGCATAGTGAAACCTTGTCTCAAAAAGACCAAAAAAAAAAAAAAAAAAGAAATAAAGTAGTTAACACATAAAAGATACTCAGAAAAGTGTCAGGGTGTGGTGGTAAATGCCTGTGATCCCAGCACTGTGGGAGGTTAAAATAAGAGGATCAGAAGTTCAGACCCAGGCTGGGCATCTTAGTAATTTCGCCAGACCCTGTTTCAAAATAAAAAATAAGGGACTGGGGGTTTAGCTCAGTGGCACAGTGCCTGCCTGGCAAGTGTGAGGTCATGAGTTCAATTTCTGGTACCAGAAAAAATAAATAAATAAAGATATAAAAAGGGGTGGGGCTATAGCTCGGTATGAAGGCCCTGGATTCAATTCCCAGTGGCACACACGCACCTGGAACATAGTAAATTCTTGTTAAATTAGCTTTTATTATTGTTGGAAAGGAAATGATCATTAATCCTTACACACATGCCCTGGGGACATTACATTGTGAAATGCCCTTCTCCTCTTGTCCAGTCTACACTTGAGCAATTTGTGCAGTGGACCTATTTGAGTCTCTGCGATCATACTTGTGAAATTCTGGGCATATCATTGGCCTCAATTTTCCTATCTGGAAGAGATACTGTATGAAAGTAATAAAGGTTAGGCATGAAGTCCATCCCTGTAATCCCAGCTAATCAGTCATCCAAGACAGGAGGATCACATGTTCAAGGCCAGTCTGCGGAACTTAGTGAGATCCTGTCTCAGAAAGGCTGGGGGAGGGCCAAGGATATAGCTCAGCGGCACAAGCACCTGCCTGGCAAGCGCAGGGTCCTGAGTTTGATTCCTGGTACCAAAAAATAAAAAATGAAAAGGGCTGGGGATGTAGCTCAGTGGTAGAGTGTTTGCTGGGTACACGCAACATGCACATGGCCCTGGATTCATTCTCCAGCATCTCTCTCTCTCTCACACACACACACACACACACACACACACACAATGAGATTAATAGCACAACCTACCTTGTATTAGCTATGTATGTATGCTATAAAATTATACAAATAAATAATAGCAGCTGGGCGTGGTGGTGCACACCTGTAATCCTAGCACCTGGGAGGCTGAGGTAGGAGGATTGCTGCAAGTTTGAGACCAGCCTGGGCTACAAAGTGAGCTCAAAGCCAGCCTAAACTGCATAGTGAGACCCTGTCTCAAAAAAAAAAAGACAACCCCCCCAATAAATAATAGCCATTTTTTTTTTTAAATTCAGGGGGGCTAGGGCAAGGTAGAAGTTCAAAGAGAATTTGCAAAGCTAGGACTGGAGGAGGACTAGCAGGGAGGGTTCCTGTCCACAGCAGCCCCTCCTCGGACTCCTCAGATCTTTCACATGACCTATGACCTGGCCAGCGCTGTGGTTCGCATCTTCAACCTCATTGGGATGATGCTGCTGCTCTGTCACTGGGATGGCTGTCTGCAGTTCCTGGTCCCCATGCTTCAGGACTTCCCTCCCGACTGCTGGGTCTCCATGAACCGCATGGTGGTGAGAAGCCCCCACAGCTCTGCTGCTCCTGGGCTTTCTAAGGGCTCTTCTGCCTGAGCATCCGGGAGCAAGAGGTGGGAGATGATCAAGAAAGAAGATAGGAGCAGGTGGGGAGGAGGGAGGAAAAGGGTAAGATATCCAGAAGTACCTGTATATTGGAAGGAAGAGGCAAGGAAAGAAGCCTACACAATAGCCGAGGCCCCCAACCTACAAGAATTCCCTTTTGCTTTGGGGACCCCAGAACCAAACAGGGGCCGTCTAGGAGGAAGGTCTGAAGCAGAAGGGGCAGGTAGAACTAAAAGTGAGAGAAAGGGGCAGGTGCAGAACACGGCTCAGAAAGAACCATGCCCATCTTTGCCATCTGCTCTGCCCCCCAGAACCACTCGTGGGGCCGCCAGTACTCCCATGCCCTGTTCAAGGCCATGAGCCACATGCTGTGCATTGGCTATGGACAGCAGGCTCCTGTGGGCATGCCTGACGTCTGGCTCACCATGCTCAGCATGATTGTGGGCGCCACATGCTACGCCATGTTCATTGGCCATGCCACTGCTCTCATCCAGTCCCTGGACTCTTCCCGGCGCCAGTACCAGGAGAAGGTCAGCAGGGAAAGGAGAGGGAAGGGGTGCATGGGGAGGTGCTGGAGACCGGGTAACTCGACCCGAGGCCCGTTCTGATGTGTGCTCCTGCTGGATCTCTGTGTGCCTCCCTGCCCCGTGTCCATTCGTCCCACGCCTTGTGTGACCTCTTCCTTGTCTGGACCTATGCCTCTGTCACTGGACCCCTCCCCTGCCCATATCTGCATTTTCCTGTCACTGTGGTGTGTGTCATCTCTGTATCCACCATCATTCACACGTCCCTGTGGCCCTGTGCACCTACATCTGGCTCCGTGTCTCACACCTCTGGGTCTGACCTATCTGTGACCTTCCATATGCCCTGTGTCCTCTTCTGCTGGCCGTGGGTTGGCCCTGAAGTACAAGCAGGTGGAACAGTACATGTCCTTCCACAAGCTGCCCGCTGACACCCGGCAGCGCATCCACGAGTACTACGAGCACCGCTACCAGGGCAAGATGTTCAATGAGGACAGCATCTTGGGGGAACTGAGCGAGCCGCTGCGAGAGGTGGGCCAGGCTGGGCCCTGAACAGGGCTCTTCTGGGATCGGGGCTTCTGGAGGTGCTGTCTAGGGTGGGGGTGTTTGTCAGCAGATGCTCTTATAGGGAGGGAGATTTGCAGAGGGCCCCAAGTATTTGGGGGAAAGGAGTTGATGGGCTGAAGTGTTTCTTAAGCATCTTAAAAGGGCTGAGTTTCCAGGGGAGGACTGCAGGGGTTTGTGTTTGGAGGGATGGTTCCATGGAGCCCTATGGGAGTGCTCTGAAGACAAGGGCTTGGGGATGGTCCAGGGCCCCTGCAGCACCTTTATCTTTTGGCAGATCCTGACCCAAGGGGTGGAGTTTCTGGAAATAAATGGGTTTGGTGGGAGCATCTTGGGCCAGGGCACACAACCTGTCTGACAGGCCCCTCTTCTGCCCAGGAGATCATTAATTTCACCTGCCGGGGCCTGGTGGCCCACATGCCACTGTTTGCCCATGCCGATCCCAGCTTTGTCACTGCGGTTCTCACCAAGCTGCGCTTTGAGGTCTTCCAGCCGGGGGACCTTGTGGTGCGGGAAGGCTCTGTGGGCAGGAAGATGTACTTCATCCAGCACGGGCTGCTCAGTGTGTTGGCACGTGGCGTCCGGGACACCCGTCTGACTGATGGATCCTACTTTGGGGGTCAGCAAGCCTCCGGGAGGGTGGTGGGGTCACAACCACTGGATGAAGGGCAACTGCTCCCTGGGATCAGGGTCCCTACCCAGCTGTGCTGCACAGTCACCTGGTGCTCCAGCCCAGTCCTGCTAAGTGAGGGGAGCTGGGCCAGGGACTCAGGCTCTATAGTTTTTAAATCTTCTCAGGAGATTCCAGTGCACAGCCAGGTTCTAAATTACTGGGCTAGAAGGCCTTTTGGGGCTCTTAACCACTGACATCTAAGGAGCCTTGTCTTTAGGAAAAGATAGGGATGGAGTAGAGTTGTCCCAGGGGCTTGAGTGGCGCTGTCCTGGTGGCATGATTCAGGGACTCGGCTTGTGACGGTGGGGTGGGGCAGCTCTGAAGCTGGTGCCCAAAGTGATTCGAAGCTCATGTAACCTCCCAGCCCCAAGCCACCCAAGACCTCCAGCATCTCCATCCATGTGCATTTTGCCTTGCCCACTTTGGCACTGCTTTTCTTCTCCAGGGTGGTCCTTGGTCTTCATCCTATGGGATGGGAAGGGAGGTACACAGGGTAAGTTGTCCCGGCTGTGCTCCTGGGGATAGAGCAGTGGAGCTGCATCTGGGATGAAAGTGAAACTGGATGGAGTCACTAGCAGTCTGGAGGCCAGCAAGACCTGCTTTTTTTTTTGAGACAGAAGTCTTAGGGCCGGGGATGTAGCTCAGCAGCACAGTGCCTGCCCAGCAAGCACGAGGTCGTGAGTTCAATTCCCAGTCCAAAAAAAAATGAGACAGGGTCTTGCTATGTAGCTCAGGCTGGTCTAAACCTCACAGTGATCCTCCTGCCTCAGCCTCCCAAGTGCTGGGATTCCAGGCATTGTTACCATGCCCGGCTATGCTTGTCAGTTTTAATATGAAGAGAGTAAAGACTGGGAGAGTTGCACAGAAATTGTGCAGGTCTGGAGAGAGACAATGCTTGGAGCACTTAGGGACTCTGAATAGAGGAGCAGGGTAAGCATTGGGTTCTCCCAAGTCTAGGGAGGGCTCTGAGGACAGCGGTTCTGAGCCTCCTTCTAACTTCCGCAGAGATCTGCCTGCTGACACGGGGCCGGCGCACGGCCAGTGTTCGGGCTGACACCTACTGCCGCCTCTACTCCCTAAGCGTGGATCACTTCAATGCCGTGCTTGAGGAATTCCCGATGATGCGCCGGGCTTTTGAGACTGTGGCCATGGACCGGCTGCGCCGCATCGGTGAGGCCTGTCCACCCTGTCAGCTCTGGGTCCTGGCTGTGCTTCACCCCATCTCCAGAGCCAGGAGCCCAGCACTTCAGTGTCACATTCCACCCCACCCCCTAGTCCCAGCAAGTGCCCCAGCAGGACTTTCAGCACGGGCTCACTGTCCTCAGCATGTCTTACCCCTGGAGGCACCACCCAAGTTCACATGCCCTGAGACCTTCTTCTAAGTACCCGTCCCTCAACCTCACATCTTGGGCCAGGGATATAGCTCAGTGGTACAGCGCCTACCTGGCAAGTGCAAGGTCCTGAGTTCGATTCCTGGTACCAAAAAAAAAAAAAGAATACCTCACCATCTTGACCCATACCCACTCCCTCCCACCTGTCTCCAGTCCCTGTCCCCCATCAGCTTCTCCACACTCCTGACTCCTCCCAGTTCCTACTCTGAAGCCCACCCACAGTCCCCGACTCCACCTAGATAGCCTCACATTCTTCGATATCCAACCTCTATCTTGGATTCCTTCCCTATCCTTAACGCTTCCCTCCTGGGGCAACTTCTAGGCAAGAAGAATTCCATACTGCAGCGAAAACGCTCAGAGCCAAGTCCAGGCAGCAGCAGTGGCATCATGGAGCAGCACCTGGTCCAACACGATAGGGACATGGCCCGAGGTGTTCGGGGCCTGGCCCCAGGCACAGGAGCTCGGCTCAGCGGGAAACCAGTGCTGTGGGAGCCACTGGTTCACGCGCCTCTGCAGGCAGCTGCTGTGACCTCCAACGTGGCCATTGCCCTGACTCACCAGCGGGGCCCTCTGTCCCTTTCCCCCGACTCTCCAGCAGCCCTCCTGGCTCGTTCTGCTCGGCGCTCAGCAGGCTCCCCAGCCTCCCCGCTGGTGCCTGTCCGAGCTGGCCCTCTGCTGGCACAGGGGCCGTGGGCATCCACCTCCCGCCTGCCTGCCCCATCCGCTCGAACCCTCCATGCCAGCCTTTCGCGGGCAGGGCGCTCCCAGGTGTCCCTGCTGGGCCCTCCTCCAGGAGGAGGTGGACGTAGGTTAGGACCTCGGGGCCGCCCGCTCTCAGCCTCCCAACCTTCTCTGCCTCAGCGGGCGACAGGTGATGGCTCTCCTAGGCGGAAGGGCTCAGGAAGTGAGCGCCTGCCCCCCTCGGGGCTCCTGACCAAGCCTCCAGGGACAGCCCAGCCACCCAGGCCACCAGTGCCAGAGCCAGCCACCCCCAGGGGCCCCCAGCTCTCTGCCAATATGTGAAACCCTTGGTTACACAGGCCTTAGCTCGTAGGGTGCAACAGTATGTGCCCAAGGGCAGACGCCTCTTGGGGAAGGCCCAGAGGACTCAAAAGGCTGCCCTGTGGGAGTGCCTCCCTTATCACCATGAAGATGTTCTCTGTATCCTAAGCTCAAACAGCCACAGCTTGTCTGACATCTTAGTCCATTCACCCATCTGTCCGGTGTACCGAGCCCACACGGTGAAGGCATCGTGCTGGGCACTGTATGTCTCCACTGCCAAATAGAAGAGACTCAGAGCCCTCTGCCCAGGGTACTTCCTGGCCCTGGTCCTGCCCGGTGCAGGCCTGGGCCCCTGACCCTTCCCTTTACTAAGCACAAGTACTTGCCACCGCCATCACTGCCAAGTAACTAGATGTTTCTGTTCCCTGGCGATGGCCCTACAGGGCCAGCCTGGTGTGGTTATCTTCCTGTCCCTTTAGTGTAGTTGGGTACTGTCAACTACCTGTGCCTCCATTGCTGCCGACAAATGTCTTGGGTCCTGAGTGTGGGCATCCACCTTTGGCTTCCCACTGCCACCTGTGGACCCTCCGAGTCTACACCCTCTGAGTGGGAACACGCATCTGTCTGTGTGGTAGGACTCTCTTTGCCTAAGCTAGGAGCCGTCTCTTCCCTGTGGCCCAGCCCCTGTGGTGTCCTCCCCTGAAGCTAAGGGACAGCTGGCACCTCCTTAGTGTGCTAACCTAGATTCCCTCAGGTGGGGGTAAGTAGCTGAACCCTGATGTGACCTTTTCTTTGTCTTATTCAGTTATTTATTTTGTTCACCTATTTACCTGACCCGCCATGCCAGCTTCTGTGGTCTTCGACAATGCCGTCAGCAATATTCGAACCCTCTCCCTATGTAGGTAAGGGCAGGAGGGGCTGCCTGAGAAGGGGAGGAAGACATTTTCACTGATGGGTTTTTCCCTTCTGGGTCTGCTGCTGGTGCAGGAGTAAGGGGAGGGCCCGAGGTATCCAAGCCTGGGGAAGGGCAGCCCAGCCAGCCCCTCCACCTTCTCAGGGACAAGAGTAATCCCTGACCCACCCCTCTGTCCCCTCTCCTTTTCTGCAGCATCAAAGAATGTGGGTGCCAGGGCCCTAAATCTCCTTTCTTTTTGGGGGAGAGTTCTGGGGTTCTTGGTGTATGGGAGAAGTTTTATTATTGTTCTCAAACAGCTGAGTTTAAAAAGAAAATAGATACCCATTTTGGCTCCTGGTTTATGTGTGGGAATAAAGTGGGTATGAAGGAATTTCTGGGTGCAGGAGGGGACCCCGGACCCAGCTAGGCTTGAGGTGTCATGACAGGGGCCAGGGGAGTAGTCTGCAAGCACAGCACCAAGGCTGTGCTGGACAAGATGAGCCTGCCCAGCTGGCTCTTAGGTCACCCCAGCATCCATCTGTCCCAACCTCCCCCAAAGTGTGCTTTGATGTCTCTATCAGACACCACAAGGGGGTAGCCTGTCCTGGCTGGAGGCCATCAGGAGGAGGTGGCATTGTCCCCAAATGATCATGAGGGCCACAAAGGACAATGATGGGCTGCATAGACATAAAGTGTTGTGAAATAGTGATTCTGGGGAGGCTGTGGACAAGACGGCCCTGTCTCCTCTCCCCAGCCCCAGGGATGGGAACCCTGGAGGAAGGGAATTAACCAGCCAAGCTGAGATTAAAGGATCAAGACATGTTAGGGATTGGATGCAGAGAATGTAGGATCAGGATCGGTGCTGCCAGGCAGCCAGTGTATAATTGGACACAGACTTTCAGGGGCTATGAGACACAGAGAGGAGGAGGGGTGCCCTAGAATAGGGCTAGATGGCAGATGTGGCCTGAGACAGGGAGCGTGGGAGTACAGAGACAGAGGAGGGGCCGTGTGGGGAGGGAGCCAGGTGGGCAGGAGGGGATACAGGGTGGGAGGCCTGGGTCAGAGGAAGAAGGCGTCTCAGGAGATGCTCAGGACTCGCATGATGTTGGTATAGCCAGAGCCAGGTCGCCAGCCTGTCACCACAATCACCAGATCCCCAACATGGAGGAAGCCACGAAGCTTTCCTAGGGGAGGGAAAGATGACAGTCACTGAGGGATGCAAGGCAGCCCCGTCACCAAGAGCTGCCTCACTCTCCATCTCAAGGCCACCCTGCAGGGAATGGGGAGCCTGAAGCGAACTGGGGTGCTGCAGGAACGTGACAACCTCGGTGTGTAAAAGCTGCCTGTCCCTGAGCGGAACGGTGCACATCTTGCTAAGTAGCAAGCTGAGGCAATGCTGATAGGAAGAGATCAGATACGATTATATGACAGTTGTAAATCTGATCTTAGCTCCAGATGTTCCAGCTTTCTCCGATGTCACACTGGGCTCTAGCCACCTGGCGCAGGCAGCAGCTGGGCCCTGCCCTCTCTCCCTCTTCATGGCTCGGCCTAACCTCCCCCTGTTTAGACTCGGAGTTACTTCTCAGTCTTAGTGACTCTTGGAGGGAAAATCTGGGAGCAGAGGAGATAGGCAAGGCTCTGTAGGTGTGGGAAGCTGGTTTGGGGGTCTCCCGTGTAAGTGCCGGGGAAGCAGGAAGGAAGGTCTCGGAATCTCACCACTTTCAATGCCAAATTGGACCCGGCGATCCACATCATCCGCCCAGATGGCCTCTGGAGGTTCACTGTAGAGCACAGGGAAGACTCCTCTGCATAGATGGATCTGGCGCGCAGCCTGGGCAGAGCGGGTGACAGCAACGACTGCCGCCCGAGGTCGGTACCGAGACAGAAGCTGGGCTGAGCTGCAGGAGACAGAGAAGGTCAGCCCAGAGCAGGCAAATGGTGTTGAACCAGTAAACAAGGTGTGGCCAACAAGCTACGTGACCCTGAGTAAGTCATCGTACTTCTCTGGGCCTGGGGTCCCACCCTGTGAAACCAGGGTAAGAATACCTTCCCTTCCTACCACACGAGGAAGACATGCGATAGTAAAGGTACACAACATGAGATAAAGACAAAACTCTCAGAAACATACAACGGCCAGACATGGTGGCGTATGCCTGCACTCCCAGCACTTGGGAGGCTGAAGCAGGAGGATAATATCCATGAATTCAAGGCCAGCCTGGGCTACATAGTGAATTCAAGACATCCTGAACTGCATAGCAAGACCCTGTCTCAAAGAAAGAAAGAAAGAGAGGAAGAAAGAGAGAGAAAAGTTTTAGAGAATGTACATTATATAGCACTTGATTCTACATAGAACTTAATGTCTCTTATTAATTCTCAGAACCCCATGAGGAACAAATGACTAATTCACAGGCCTGAGGAGATGAGCAGGCTCACACAGCCCGGTGAGTTACCCAAGGCCTCATTGCTGAGTTTCAGAGCAAAGACTTGAACTCAGACCTACTGGGCCTTTGAGCAACACCCCAGCATTTTAAAGCTCTGTGGGCTAGAGGGACCTTCCTGCAGCCCCAGGAGCCCAAAGGCCTCGAAGCCGGTGTGCTCAGTGATGCCATGTGCCCTGCCAGTGCCCCGCAGCTCACTGGCACTTGTCCCGGTGTACTCCAAGACCTGCCTCTCCTGGCCTCCTCCTCTCATAGGGGCTTCTCTTCTTGCCCTAGGGCAATATTCTTCATCCCTGAGGATCACCCCACAGCCAGGCTGTGGCCTGCTCCTGCCCATGCCTGACTCAGCACCCTGTCTAGGCTTCCCAGCATCTCCCTCACCGGCCAGTTTTGGTCAGCACGATGATGGCAGCAGCGCAGCACTTGAAGGCAGCCTCCACAGCACCAATGGCAGTGACCTCCGTGGGGTCACGGCTCAGGGGCGCTGCCCGGCGTAGCTCCTCAAACAGCTGCCGGTGGTACACTGCGGCCTCTGCCTCCCGAGCGATCTGCAGGCAGCAGGAGGTCACGCTGGGCAGGGACACTGAGGTCCAGAAGGGGTTTAAGTTCCCTGCCCCTTTGCTTTTCATTCTAAGCTCCTACCGCGTGCTGCATCTTCACGGCCTCCACAGGGAATTTGCCCTTGGCGGTCTCCCCTGACAGCATGATGCAGTCCGCCCCATCCAGCACAGCGTTGGCCACATCACTTGTCTCTGCCCGCGTCGGCCGGGGCTTGGTGATCATGCTTTCCAGCATCTGGGGGTGCCGTGGATGGCAGTGTTGGAGGAGTCACACTCCGGGGGAACCTGTCCACAGTACTCTGACACCCCAACTCACAGACCCCTTAAAGCCAGGGTTAGAGTCACAAGCTGGCAATTGAGTTTCCTCATCTAAAAAATAGGGGTCGTGGTATCTCTACCTAACTTCATTGTTTGGGGATCAACACCAGACAGCGGAATGTGCTGCGGACCTAAGGTGTGGTATTCTCCCTCAGTGTCCCTAAAAGCTCAGAGCGTCCCAGCCCCAAGGGCTCGCTCCAGACCTGTGTGGCACAGACCACGGGCTTGCCCGCCAAGTTGCAGCGCCCAATCATCATCTTCTGAGCCAGGAAAACCTTCTCAGCTGGGATCTCGATGCCCAGATCCCCTCGTGCCACCATGATGCCATCGCTCACTTCCAGGATTTCATCAAACCTGGGCAGATGGAGGAATCAGGGCTGGAGCAGAGCCAGGAGATGCCAGAGAGAAGCAGGCAGAAAAAGAGACAATAAAAAGACTCACTTCTTCACGCCTTCGTGATTCTCAATTTTGCTGATGATTTTAATGCCCTGTCCTTCTGACCCCAGGGCATCCCGTACAGCAACCACATCGCTGGCTTTCCGCACAAAGGAGGCAAAGATGATGTCCACTCCATGCTCCACCCCGAAGCGCAGGTCCTTCACATCTTGCTCGGACAGGCTGGGCAGGTCCACCTGGACACCTGGCAAGTTCACGCCCTTCCTGCTGCCCAGAACGCCTCCATTCTCCACTTCAGTCAGCAGCCCGTCTGGGCCTGAGGGCATGGAGAGAGTGCTTCCCTCAGCAGAGAGGTCCGGCTAAAGACAAGGGAGTGGCGTCGGGGATGAGCCCCAAGAGATGGGAAATGTGTCCTCCTCTCTGCCCTTGTGGGTCCCACACACACTAGATACCAGATGGAAATCTGTGTAAGAGATGACAAACTCACGAGTTCAGCCCACCCCCAGGGTAAGGATAGGAGTCTGGGTGTGGGTGACCCCCAGACCGGTGGGCAGTATAGGGGCCTAAGGGTGAAGGGAGCGCCAAGGGGCGGGCGGCGACTGTGCTCAGCGCTCAGGTGTCATCAGGGAGGCTGGCGCGTCCGCACCAATTTTCTGGACCACAAGGGAGATGAGTCCGTCGTCAATGTAGATGCGGCCCCCCACCGGCACGACCCGGGTGATGTTGCAGTAGTCCACCCACACGGTGTTTGCGTCCCCCCGAGTCCGGAAGGCTGGGTCCACAGTCACCAGCACCTGGGTGCCCTTCACAATCTCCACTTCGGACTCGGGGCCCTAGAGCCGGAGCCAGAGAAGTGAGCTCGACGCCCGGCCCCGCCCCTCGCCCCTCGCCCGGCCAGGCCCCGCCCCTCGCCCGACCAGGCCCCGCCCCTCGCCCGGCCAGGCCCCGCCCCTCGCAGACCTCGCCCGCGCCTCTCACCCCCAGCAGGATCCCGGTGCGGATCTCAGGGCCCTTGGTGTCCAAAGCGATGCCCACTGGCCTGTAGCTGAACGGGGAGGTCGCGAAGCTCTCTGCTGCCTCCCGGATGTTGGCGATGGACTCGGCGTGGTACTGGAGGCGGAGCGGGGCGGGACTTCAGGGGAAAGTGTCTAGGACCCGGGCGTCCTTCGGTCCACCCTCCCCTCCCTCCCCACCTCGTGGGAGCCGTGGGAGAAGTTGAGTCGCGCGATGTTCATCCCGGCCTTGATCATCTCCTTGAGGCGCTCTACGGAGTGAGATGCCGGCCCTGGAACCAGAGACCCCCCTCAGACGACTTTCCACCCAAACCTGGGCGACGACCAGCCCATCACCACCCTCACAATAGACCCTGTCAATCTCTGGTTCTGTGTCTTCAATTGTGTGTGTGTGTGTGTGTGTGTGTGTGTATGTGTGTGTGTGCGCGCGCGCGCGCGCTGGAGACCCAGGGCTTTCCCAATGAGCTACGCCCCCCTGCCCTTTTAAATTTTTATTTTAGTCATGGTTTCACTAAATCACTACGTAATCCAGGCTGGGCTTGAACTCGAAATCTTCCTGTCTCCTCCTCCTGAGTGCTGGAATTACCGGTCTGCCCCATTCCTGGCTCCCCTGGATGGTTAATACGCGCTTCAACCTCGACACATTCCAACTGGACTCCTGAGGAACCTCCTGTAACTTTCCACCAGTCTTTTGACCAGTTGATAACGCCTTCCGGTTCCTCTCTTCCTCACCCTCATTCCCACCCGGTCCTTCCCATCCGTCCTTCTGGAGATTCTGAGGGCTCCGCCCTCCCGGCGCCTTCAGAATCAGACCACTTCTCACGCCTCCACCGCCACCACCCGGGCTGAGCCAGAAGCGCCGCTGCAGCAGCTTCTGTCCCTGCCCTAACCCCACCCACCCCCAATCTATTTCAGTCCAACAGCCGAGTGGTTCTGTTGAAACAGTGGTGGCGCTGGCCTGTGATCCCAGAAGTTGGGAGGCTGAGCCAGAGGATCGCCTGGAGTTCCAGGCCAGCTTGGAACATAGTGATTTCAAGGGTTAGCCTGAAATACGTAGCAATTCCTTGTCTCAAAAAACCAAAAATCGTACAAACATAAATACACACATAGAGCTGGTTGTCCGCCTGTTCAAGACCGTATAGTCTCAGCCACGTGTGGAGGACGACCTCATTCTAACAATGCCTTATGAAGCCCCGCCCTGTCCTCCCTCCTGTCTCTTCCCATCTGCTGCCCTTGCCTTGTCACTGAGTGCTGCCCTTACCTGCAACTCTCTCCCCAGCTGTCTGCAGAACTAATTCTCCCCTTTTAGGTCTCTGTGCAGTAGTGGCTGCCCTGCCCTCCCTGCCTAGGGCTGCAATCTGCCTCCCATCTCGACTCCTTGACTCCCCTTACTACACTCTACATTTCTCTTTTTTTCCATAGTATTTACTACTCTAACACACTACTTAGTTTGCAATAATTTTTATTATTTGTTGTTTTGTCGAGCTAGGGTGTCAGTTCCTTAAGGGAACTGTTGCCTGCTTTCTTCTCTGAACTGCACCCCCTCCAACTGCCCTGGGCTCCAAGCCTCGACTACTAGATGCCCAACAAATATTTGTTGAATGGCTGGAAGTGATGCTGTTGGGAGACTGAGGTAGGAGAATCATAGTTTGAGCCCAGACTGGGCAACTTAGCAACACACAAGACTCTGTGTCAGAATAAAAAAATAAAATAAAAAGCCTGGAGATAGCTGGGAATGGTGACAGATGCTTGTGATCCCAGCAGTCAGGAGGCTGAGGCAGGAGGATCACCGTGAGTTCAAAGTCAACTTAGACTACATAGTTGAGTTCAAGAGCAGCCTGAACTACATAGTGAGACTGTCTCAAAAAAAAAAAAAAAAAAAAAGCCAGTGCTGCAAAAAACAACAACAAAAAAAGATAATTGTTAAATGAATAATTCCAAAGTTGAGGAAGCACACTGAGCAGCCTTACCAATGGTCGCGATGATGCTGGTGCTTCGAGCAGCCACTGGTTCTGAGTCGATGTCCAGCAGGCAGAGGTGTTCCAGGAAGGTGTTGGCCATGGCAGCTGGCAGCTGCTGCTGCTGGAAGAAGGTGCTGCCCAGCTCCTGGGTCAGCTGGGCCACACTGGCTCGCCGCAGGTACCCCGCCAGCCCTGTGGTGGAAGGGACTGAGGGGCTGCATTTCAGCTCCCGCACGCCTTCTGCAGGCGCTTCCATGTGTGCGGAGCCAGCCCTTTGCGCTAGGCATCGTGTACACATGATCTTGTCCATGGGCATCATGTACACACAACCAAGGGGCTTACAGAGCAGGTATTAAAACGCTCTGTAATATCTTGACTTTACAATTGGGAAAAAGAGAACAGTGAAATATATCACGCAAGATCATGTGGTTTCTAAGTAACCGAGATGGGATTCAAATCTAGATCTGACCAATCCTAGGCTCAAGTTCCAGTCACCCCGCTATACCTGACTTCTGACTCCAGTCCCCCCCGCCATATTCATAGTAGCACCTCATTATCCATACCAGAATTACCCAGTTCCCTCTTCCAAGGTCCCTGTTTATTTCCTGGCAACCCCTGGCAACAGCCTGCTCCCCCGCTCCAGCTTCCATAGGCCACTAGCACTGCCCCAGGCCCAGGGCTTTAGCTGGGTCCAGGGAAGCCCTGCGAACAGCTGCACCTTCCATGCCTCTGCACTCCGAGTCTGTCTCTGTGGGTCTGCTTCACACTGTGCCCGAACCCGGAGGTCCAGGGGCTGGGGCTGAGCTGGGCTGTGCAGTGACACTAGTTAAAGTGTCACTAGTGTCTGTCCAGCTTGTATGCCAAGTGCCAGAGTCCAGGCAGCATGGGAGTGCCCCGTGGCACGCCGCAGGCTCCCGGCAGGCTCGTCGGCAGGACCTGAACAGGAGGCCCAGACCAGGGACTGCACTTTGACAGACACAGATCCACCCCAGTCCTCTGCCCAACTCCTGATTCCCAGGATAATTTCCTCCTCTGTTCCCCTTCTTACCTCCTGGAGCTCCACTGAGGATGGACTTGGCTAAGCTTCTTTGAGACTGTGAGATCCATGAGCAAAACTGCTGGGGTAGAACGTTTGGAATTGACATGGTTCCAAAACATGAGCACCGGGAGGAGAAAATGACAAAACTGCTGGTCTTATCTACAGGAGCCAGAGAATGGAGAAGGGCCGCACCCAGGGGGCAGCCGGTCCCCCAGAGCCCCTCCCCAAGCCCTGTGCTCTCTGCTCCTGCCTCTGCCATTCCCCTATCTCATCCATTTTTCTTGATCAACTTTCAATCCATTCACACTGCCTAGCCATCAACCTGAATAGAGATTTTTTTAATCATCCCCCTTTCTTTCTACTTTACTGAAGTGAGTGCTAGATGAATCTAGGGAGCAGAGGGGTCCTGAAGCCCCTAAGTCTGAAGAAATAGGAAGGGGAGCCTTTTGATAGTGTGGTGGGTGAGTGGTCGCTTGGTTTCCCCACTTGTTTTCTCGTCCGGACCACGAAATACAGAGACCACTCTGTGACGGGGGCAGTCACAACCCAAGATGAGCCCTTGAATATTCCCAGGTGTTTTTTTTTTTTAATTTTCTTTTTCCCAGGTGTTGATAAACTTCAGGCTGTTGCTGACCATGGGGTGGCTAAACATAGGAGTTAGCCTTGCCCCAGGCAAATTTCTTCAACCTGCACAAAAACTGCATGACCCAACCCCCTCCCCTACCCAGGCAGAACATTCTTTGTCTTGCTCCCTACTGCAGGGATACAGCGTAGCTTCCTCTCAGTGTAAATTCCCCTAAGAAGTGCTTTTGGACCCATCAGCCTGGCATTTAGTGCTTCTTTCTTGGGAATCCCCACAGGCCCCATTTTGGGGTGGTATGGGGCAGTCCCTGTTGGTACTTCCTTGCTGCCGCTATTGTATGACTCTTGCTGTGGGTTTAGTTCTGACGAACAGTGGGGTTCTCAGGAAGGGCTTTGGGGACATCATCATCAATCATCATCATTATCATCGTCACATTATCTACCATTTACCTGTTCACTGCCTTCCAATATTTATTGAGCACCTCCTTTCTGACAGGCCCTGAGGATGCAATAGAAGCAAAATAGATAGGGCCTCGCCAGACTCGGTGTCACATGCCTGTAATCCTAGCTACTTGGGAGGCTGAGGCAGAAGGATTGCAAGTTTGAGGCCAGCCTGGGCAATTTAGTGAAACTTTGTCTCAAAATAAAAAATTGAAAAATCCTGGGGATATAGCTCAGTACTTGCCGGGTTCAGTCCCTAGTATTGCCAAACCCAAAACCAAGCTAAACAGAAAAATATTGACAGGCTGTTTCCCATCAGTAGAATTTACAGTAGTATAGTGGAGAGAGACACTATAATGAGGTATCAAGGAAATGAATGTATAACTACACTTTGTAAGTGCTAGTAAGGCAGGGATCATGGTTCTGGAACAGATAGGCCAATAGGGAGAGCAGAGGAATGTCTTAAATTAAATTATAGCCAGGAGCGGTGACACATGCCTGTAATCCCAGCACTCAGGAGGCTGAGGCAGGAGGATTGCCATGAGTTTGAGGCCAGCCTGTGCTACACAATGAGTTCAAGGCCAACCTTAACTACATAGGGAGATGGGAGATCCTGTCTCAAAAAACAAAACAAAAAAGTTAACTTAAATTATAGTACTAAGGATTGAAACCAGAGCCATTCGCATTCTTTTAATTTTGAGAAAGTTCTTTTTAAGTCACTAAGTTGCCCAAGCTAGGGTGGCATTTGGGCTTCAAGAGTTGTGGGATCACAGGCATGTGCCACCATTCTTGACTGGAAATGTATTTTAGATGAGGTGGGTGGGGAGGGTCTCTTTAATAGTAACATGTTTAAACTGTGACTGAAGGATAAAAAGGAAACACCAGGGACAAAGGGAGAAAAGGAGCTTTTTGTGGGCTTGGACATAAACGGCCAGGCTCTGAGGAAGATTGTGCTGGTGCCAGAGAGGGAGAGCTGCCGTGTGGCCATGCACCCCAAGTAGAGGGCAGGGCCTTGTATCCGAGGCAGGGATGTGACTAAGTGGCTGGTGGATGGAGACTCCAGAGCAGGCGCAAGACCAGCAGAGCAATGGTGAATTCAGCGGCAGGTGATGGGGGAGCATGGTGCAGGCAGATGGAGGACAGGGGAGGTTTGAGATAAACTAAGGCTCCGGTTAATCATTAAAATCCAGACAGGTAATGGATCTGTTCACTGAGGACTTCCGGCATGTTCACGGTCTGCTTTTATCATGACGACCTGGAAGGAAAGGAAGATGAAGAGGGAGGGAGGAGCGTGCAGAGGAGGAACTGAGTGTCTGAGCCCTCCGTCTTCAAGGGCCACTGCAGACCCCTTCTCTAGCCTTCTCAGCTTTGCTCCAGGGCCAGTGGCTTTTGAAGGCTTTGCCCGTGGCTTCTGCAGAGCTTGGCCAGTGGCAAGTGGCCCCCACAGGAGACAAGATGGACTGCCAGGCTGGGCACACACAGCTCCTGTCCCCACCGTGCAGTTTCCATCACCACAGCTCCAGAACACTCTCTGCAGATTCTAGGACCATTCTCTCCCCATGCCCACATTCAGGGAGTAATGAATCCACTGTGACCAGATCTGGGGTGACGCACCATCTCTTGTGGGTTACCAATACCCTGTAGCCCACCCCTTGGCATATAATCCTGTCAAGAAACACTCCTCAGCCGGGCGTGGTGGCGCACGCCTATAATCGCAGCACTTGGGAGGCTGAGGCAGGAGGATCGTTGTGAGTTCAAGACCAGCCTGGGCTCCAAAGTGAGTTCAAGATCAGCCTGAACTGCATAGTGGGACCCTGTCTCAAAAAGACTAAAAAAAAAAGGAAAAGAAACACTCCTCAAATGATGTAGTTTGAAAGAGTCCTCCATTTCCTGAAAGCACCTTGCCTGATACACTTGTCTAAGACTAAAAATCTAGTCGGTGCCAGGTGTAGTGGCACACATTTGTGCTCCTAGCCCTCAAGAGTCTCAGGTGGGAGGATCACAAGTTCAAAGCCAGCTTGGGCTACATAGGATTGGGATGTAGCTTAGTGTAAAGTCGGTTCAATTTCTAGTACCACTGTGTATATATTATAGTGTGTGTGTGTGTGTGTGTGTGTGTGTGTGTGTGTGTGGTACTAGTAGTAGTGGAGCTGAGATTCAGGCCCAAGGGAGTTGCCATTTGGCTCCATTCTGTCCTTAGGACTGTGTCAGGGTCCTAAGGTAAGGGCAGGGGAGGTATCTCAGAGTCGCAAAAGAATGAGTTAGACACATTCCTGGTCCATGCAGTGCCCTGTCCCCTTTGGCTGGGCGTGGTGGCCCACACCTGTAATCCCAGCACTCAGGTAACTGAGATGGAGGATCACTGCAAGTTCAAGAGGAGCATGGGCTACATAGTGAGTTCTAGGCCAGCCCGAACTACATAGTGACCATGTCTCAGAAAAAAAAAAAAAAAAAAAAGAACAGGTTAGACAATAGCAAGGACTTCCCGAGGAAGAATGAGCACAGAGTCTTAGGCTATCAGTACACAGGAGACAGAACAATTAAAGATAGACAAGAGCAGTCACGGTGACAATGCAGCAGACTGTGAGGACTGGGGCCTCACTTCTGCTTGGAGAGCTGGGGAGAGACATGGCACTTTAAGGTAGGCCTAGAAATTATGAACTGACTTCGGACCCTCTGGCAAGACACAAATCCGAGAGACCCCAGTCCCAAGTGATAACAGAGAGGCAGTGGGACCATAAAGCCGCCCTCATCTTGTGCAGCCAAGGGACAGGCACGTTGCTCTGCTATGAGGCTAAAGTGGAGAAGCAGTGTGGCTAGCTCTGGGTTTGCAAGTGAGTGCAGGTGACTGTCACAGGACTAGACACTTTTTTTAAAAAAAAAAGTTCTTGCTATGTAGTTCAGATGGTCCTTGAACTCGCTATGTAGTTCAGATGGTCTGATGTTGCCTAGACTGGCCTCAAACTCAAAGCGATCTTCCTGCCTCAGCCTCCCAAGTGCTGGGATTATAGGTGTGCGCTAAAGTGGAGAAGCAGTGTGGCTAGCTCTGGGTTTGCAAGTGAGTGCAGGTGACTGTCACAGGACTAGACACTTTTTTTAAAAAAAAAAGTTCTTGCTATGTAGTTCAGATGGTCCTTGAACTCGTTATGTTGCCTAGACTGGCCTCAAACTCAAAGCGATCTTCCTGCCTCAGCCTCCCAAGTGCTGGGATTATAGGTGTGCGCCACCATATCCAGCCGTGGACCAGACATTGTTGAGCAGGAGGCCATGGGTGAGGAAACGGAGGACAAGGATCCACTAGGATCTAAGCAGAACAGGTGTATCAGCTTTGTCCCCACCCTGCAAGCGTACGTACTCAGACACACTCAGCCACAAACAGCCATTGCCTCAGCTTCTGGAGTGCTGGGATTATGGGTGTGTGCCACCACACCGGGCTCTGACCAGTTTAACGAATGGAGAAACTGTGTCCGGGAGAGATTTAGCATTGTAGCAAGGGAGGAGGTCAGAGTGGCTTCCCCTCGCTAACACTGGGGCTCAACTGAGTCAAGGTCTGAGGCTGCCAACGCCACACACAGGCTCACAAATGCACACACTCTACCTTACCGCTTTCCACCCACACACACAAGCTTCCAGAATCAGACGCCGGCACAGTCAGACTTCACACAGGGGCTCCTGGGCTCTCACACCCACAGCGCGTGCTTGATCGCTGGCCCAAGGCCACATTCTTCTGCAGAAGGGGGCATCCCAGCCTCCCTCAAAGGGCTAGGCTTGCTTGCAGGGGGCGCCCGAGAGCCGCAGGCCCCTCGTGACAGCTACACGGAGGCACGGCCTCCTCACAACGCCCAGGAATTAAGTGTCGTCATCTGCAGCCTGAGATAATAAACCTTTGCAAGGCTGCGGGACGATAATGTCGGTGGAAGGCTGTGAGCGCTGTTCCAAGAGAGCACCGAGTCATTGCTGTCTGCACGTGCAACATAGCGACCCCTCTGACTGCAAGAGAGCGCAGGGTTGTGGCCCTGTGTGGATATGGGTGAAGAGCTTCTCCCCTCTCTTCACCGAGCCTCCCTGGCTGCTCAGGTCCCCACAATACCTGACCAGGTTCTGAGTTTTCTAGGCACCCTCCCTGATATTTCTGTCAGATACAAATGACATACTATCTTTTCCTTCTTTATGCAGACAGCACGACAGGACAATACACACCACTCAGGACTGCCTTTCACCCGCCTTAGCAACAAGTCATCTTAGACTACAGCATCTCCTCGCTTCCTCTTAAGAGGACCTGGTTGTCCTCACAATTTTTATCTTGAATTCCCTGAAATCCATCCATGGAACCTTCACTCACAAAAGTGAGGACACTGCCAGAGCGGTGTAAAGTAGGGGTGGTCTGGGCCATTCATGATGATAAACTACGCATAAGATAAAATTGATCACTTTGAAATGTACGGTTCAGGGATATCAAGTGCATTCATAATATTGTGCAACCATTATCACTACCAGTTTCCCAAACTTTTCATCAGCTTAAAAAGAAACTCTGAATTTGCCGTGGGGGTGCATACCTGGAATTCCAGTTCTCTGGAAAGTGAATGAAGGAGGACTGCAAGTTTGAGACTAACCTTAGTGAGAGCCTGTCTCCAAAATAAATAAATAAATAAATAAATAAAATAAAAAGGACTGGAGCTGTAGTTCAGTGTAAAGGCCCTGGCTCCAACCCCCAGGACAGAAAGGAGCAAATATACAAAATCAGAAACCAGATTTATTTATTTATTGTCTTTTTGAGACAGGGTCTCACTATGCAGTTCAGGCTGGCCTTGAGCTCACTTGGTAGCCCAGGCTCATCTTGAACTCACAATGATCCTCTTGTCTCAGTCTCCTGAGTGCTGGGATTACAGGTGTGCACCACCATGCCCAGCCAGAAACCAGATTTAATCAGGGCTTTTGCACTGAGCTACATCCTTAGCTCTTAAAAAAACTTTTTTTTTTTTGAGAATTGGGCATAGTGGAACACACCTGTAATCCCAAGACTCAGGAGGCTGAGGCAGGAGGATTTCAAATTTGGGGTCAGTCCAGGCTGGCCCAGTCCAGAACTATACAGGGAGATAGTGAGACATCATGAAAGAAAAAGAAAGAAAGAAAGAAAGAAAGAAAAAGGAAGGGAGAGAGAAAGAAAGGGAGTTGGCAATGGAGTTCAGTGGCAGAGTGCTTGCCTAGCCTGGGTGAAGCCTTGGTTTCAATTTCCAGGAGCATCTCTCCTTCCACAAAGCATATCCTGAGAGGGGGTTCTGGGGAGAAGCAGGCAGCAGCCGAGAACACAGAAGACACATGGATGCTCAATACCCGTGGATACTGCCTTCACAGAGTGAAAGGCTGAATCCACACAGTGGCCCAGTGGCCCTTGCTATTTCTCAGTCCTCCTTCTACTATCTTCCCTTCAATCCAGTCACACTGGTCTCCTTCATGCTTTCCAAACAAGAAACCTAATCTTGCCTTAGTAGAGGGCCATGTGCCTTGCTTATAGCATTGATTTTTTTTTATATCATGGATTTGTTCATATATAATTTTATCATTGAGGCCTTCTCAGACACTTTTTTTTTTGTGTTACTGGGAATTGAATCAAGACCTTGCACTTGCCAGGCAGGTGCTTGTGCCACTGAGCTATATTCCCGGCCCCTAGCTCACTTTATTCATTTGTGTTTTTTGTTTGTTTTGAGACAGGGTCTTACTACGCACTTCAGGCTGGCCTTAAACTCACTATGTAGCTCATGCTGGCCAGCATGACCACATCCGGGTGTTATCACTTTATTTATTTATGTATCGATAGGGTCTTACTATGTAATGCAGACTGACCTTGAACTAGCTTATGTAGCCTAGACTGGCCTCAAACTCAAAGCGATCCTCCTGCCTCAGCCCCCACCTTCACGCCCTGCTGGGATGACAGGTGTGTGTGTCACCACCGCGTGTCACTCTATTTAATACTGGGTTCTTTCCTGCTCTACTCTTACATCATCTACACTTGTTAAACATGTTCTCCATCTCCAGTGCAGGATGTTAGATTGTTAGATGCACTAGAGCACAGATTTTGCTTTTGTCGGCTGCTATATTCTTAGTACCTAGTGGCGAGGGGTCTCCCTGTGTAGCCCAGGCTACATAGGAGTCACGGCGCTTCTTTTACCTCAGCTTCCCGAGTGCAGGGATTACAGGCATGCACCACCACGCCTGGCAGTAAATAATTTTTCCGTGGTGGATGAATGGTGAGGGAGCCCAGCTCCAGATAGCTCGTGCTACTATCCTCATTCAACAGATGAGGAACGCCAGTTTCATGAGAGTCAGCTGAGAATCCCGGGTTTGAAACGATTTTTCGAGTTATAATAAGTGGTAAGTTTGTTCTGCTGGGGTTGTACTAACATGCCAATCAGCTGTATGCGAAAGGAATGAAAACTGAAGCAAAGAGCCAAGGCGACAGCCAGACTGAGAGCTCTCAGCCTGGTTTGCTTCTAGCACTTTGGCCTCACGCCCCATACCACCTACAACCCACCTTGCGTCTCGGGGCCTACAGCCAGGCGAGCAGCCCTCCCATTGGTCGTTCGTCACAGGGCCCCATGCTCACGCGAGGGTAAATAGCCAATCAGCGCTGCCATCCTCTGCCTCGCCGGCCACGCTAGCTCTCATCGTCCCGCCCCCTTTCGAGGAATGCCGGGAGTTGTAGTCTAGCGGTCCATGTTCCTGCGGCCAGCTAGGGAAGACAGAAAACTACCCGACCCAGAGAGCACAGCGCCGAGAGCGTTCACTTTTTAGGCTTACCCCGCCAACAATCTGGACCAAGCGGGAACAGCATCCAGAACAGGTGAGCGTGGTTGCGCGCTGGGGCTGGAGGCAGAGGTCCCAGACCCAACCTTACTTCCGGCGGTAATATACCGCCCGGAGAGCCCAGCCTGTTGTGCCGGGCCTGTCCTTTTGGGAGTCCGTCGATCGGACTGGTTTGCCCCTCTGTGCTTGAGGAAACTTCGCAACTCTGCCCATGTACTTTCCTGAATCTCCAGAGATGCCCGGACCCCGATTAACTCCTGCTGCCAGCTCTCTCCACCTGCCTTGAGCAGTTCTGCGTTCATCTGTGCAGTCCCAGCTCTGCTATGAGGCCCGGGACGCCTGTTCCGGTGGTGCAGACCATATGTCCGCAGCACCCACGTGTTCCAGCCCGTTAGTGTCCACTCCCCGGCGCGTAGCTCGAAGCCCAGGTTCCCCTCTTCACTGCCCATGAGGGTAGACCTCCGTTCTAGGTTTGCGTCTGCATCTGCCTGGCTGTTTCCCTCCCGGAGCCTCAGTTGGGCTGCTGTACAATGGGTGATGTGAGGCCCTCCTCAGCCCCTTAGCCCTGGTGTCCTGTGCTTTGTGCTACCTCTGCCACCTTGTGCACAGAAGCCTTGAAGGCATTCAGTTTTAGTTACTTCATTTTAAGCGAAGATCTGTTGGATCTCAGTCACCCAGACATATATTTTGTCCTCTACATATTTTTCTGCCGTAATTACACCCAAATATTGGCCACTACAGGGCCGGAGGCCAGGAGGCAAAACTTTGGTTTTGGGATAATACAGGTGCTGTCCCCTTGCATCTGCCTTCGGTGCTTGGCCCTGCAGCGAGTGCCCCTTCCCTATGCCACCCCCACGATGCCCCTGTCCCGCTTGCTGAGGTCTGTGGGGGTCTTCCTGCTGCCAGCCCCCTGCTGGGCACCCAGGGAGAGGTGGCTGGGTTCCCTACGGAGGCCCTCCCTGGTGCACGGGTGCCCAGCCCTGGGGGCCTGGCACGGTGCCCGCTGCTGGTGCCAAGTGTGGACAGAGGAGCCTCGGTGAGTGTGGTTAGGAGGGGCCTTGGGGAGGGGAGCGTCCGATCGAGTTTCTCACTTGTTCTTCCTTTTCTCAGAGCACTTTGCTCCTCTCTCAGGATGAACGGAGAGCAGAAATCCGATGTTTATGCCCAAGAAATGCAGAATTTCACCCAGCACTTCTCTCAGATTGTCAGGGTGCTGACTGAGGATGACACAGGGCACCCAGAAATAGGAGATGTCATTGCCCGGCTCAAGGAGGTGAGGGATTCATGACTTGAGGAAGCGAGACTTTGTCACTGCATGTGGGTGAGGTTCAGTGAGGGCTTCGGGGGACCTGTGATGGGTGTGGGATGCAGCTTTCGCCTGAGTGACTTTGGGTCACCCCTGGAGTGGCTGGGGTCTGGGCACAGACCCATCACCCTGACTTTTGACTGTGTAGGAAGTGGCCCATCCAAACTGCGTTCCTGGGAGTAGATTCCTTGAACCTGTTAAATCTTTGACTCTGTATCCTGAAATGTTAAGATGCTCCTGTGGCAGACGCCTGGGGGGAAGGCCATCTGAGGTTGTCTGTCTGCCCAGAGAGCTGAGGGAGGGAAGTGACTGTATTGTCAGAAACCCCTATTCCAGGACAGAAAGGGTTGCTGTAACACTTACGTTCTTTTCTTTTTTTCTCCTTTATTTTTGTGAAATATCTAGTAAAATTCTTTTTATGAATGTGGTCTATTTCAGCTGTCTGAGGGGAAATAAGGCAAAGGGAGGGGGGACCTTTTCTATGCTGGGATAAGGACTAAAAGGGACATGTTCTCTCTGGGTTAGCTCTGGATGGCAGCAGGGCAGCAGAGGGTACAGTGAGAGGCCCTACCAGGAGGAGATGCCATTGGAGGAGGGGGAGATGGCTTCCAACCTGGATCTCCTCTGAGCTTTCCTCCGGCCAGCCATGGAGGAGCATTGGCTTTTTTAAAATTTTTTTTGTATTGGGACTCAAACTCAGAACTTTACGCTTGCCAGGCAGGTGCTGCACCACTGAGCTAAATCCCCGGCGAGGAGCCTCGTCTTTAATACGAGTGTTCCATTGGCAGATGGCTTGAACTGTGGGAAGGAGGAAGTGGAGAGGAAAGTAGGGATAGACTGTGAAGAGGAGGTGTTGGGGCTGGTGCGGTCAGGCAGGGGACCTGAGCAAATCAGCTGTTTCTAAGGCTGTGTTTTCCCTGAGTTCTGGGTTTGGAGCAGAATTTAGTCATTTTGGGTGAAGAAGAATTGAGTCTGCAGGGCCCTTTAAATTTACTGGGGGAGAGAACGTAGAGTGCATGGTTAGGCTCTGGGCACTTGGCAACTCTTCTCGCTGTGCTGCAGGGCTCTGGGGACAGAATCAAGAGAGAAGCAATCCCAGGGCTCTCTGGAGGGGGAGTTTGAATTTAGGTGGTTGTTGGAAAGGAAAGATCACAGTCACTGCTCTGTGTACCCTGATGCTCTGTCCCTCTCCCCTGGCCGCAGGTCCTAGAGTACAATGCCATTGGAGGCAAGTACAACCGGGGTTTGACGGTGCTGGTAGCATTCCGGGAGCTGGTGGAGCCAAGGAAACAGGACGCAGACAGTCTGCAGCGGGCACTGACTGTGGGCTGGTGTGTGGAACTGGTGAGAAGCTGCTTTCAAAGGGGGTGCCGTGGGCGGAGGGGAGGGGAGGGGAGGGGCGGGGCGGGGCAGGGCGTTCCCAGGTGCAGCGCTACACCCAGATTTAGGCACAGTGAATTACTTAAGGGTTAACCAGTGAGCAGAATCTCTTTTGCCAAAAGTGATGTAGAATTTGGCAGCAAGGTGTCATTTTTTCCCTCTAGAGCAGAGGTCAACCATAAATTGTGTTCCTTCCAAAAGATTATTCTAAAGCAGAAACTGAACACTGGCAGCCCCTTGAAAGTTTTTGAAAATGTTTTCAGCATAAAACCCCTAAACTTCACACTACAGGTGAGGTGGTGTAGCTCCTATAATCTCAGTTGCCCATGAAGCTGAGGCAGGAGGATTGTAAGCTTGAGACCAGCCTGGGCAACTGCTTGTCTGAAAATCAAAAATAAAAAGGGCTAGAGATGTAGCTTAGTATTCTCTGGGTTCAATTCCTGGTACTGCAAAACTGAATGTATTTTTTTTTGTATTGGGAACTGATACAAAACTGAACCAAACAAAAAACCCAGATTTCTGGCATTAGTTGAAAATTTACAACATCTGGCTGCGTGCATGCAAGCGCAATAGCTGGCTGAGGCCGAGTCCAGCTGCTTCCCCTAGACGGCACCGGCTCACCTGTGTCCCTGCTTTGCTCCTGTCCTCACAGTTCCTTGCCTTCACCTTCAGGCTCCTTAGCCTTTGAAAGTGTATGATTTGCTGGCCTAGCCTAAAGCCTTCATTCAGGGTAGGAGAACTGGATTCTAATAATATATATATATATAATTTTTTTTGCAGTCCTAGAAGTTGAACTCTGGGCCCATGGCACTGAAATATGTCTCAAGCTCCCTCCGACTAATTTCTTTTTGAGATAGAGTATCGCTGTACTGTAGTCAAGGGTGGTCTTGAACTCGCTGTGATCCTCCTGCAAGGCCAGTCTTGACTACAGTTAGTTCAAGTTCAGCTTGGCCTACGTAGTGAGACCCTGTCTTAAAAAAGAGAGGGAGCAGGGCATGGTGGTAGACCCTGTAACCCCAGCACTCTAGAGGCTGAGCAAGCCTGGGCTCCATAGTGAATTCAAGGCCACCCTGAACTGCACAGGGAGACCCTGTCTCAGAAAACAAAAACAAAAAAAGGAAGGCCCTGAAGGCTGGGGATGTAGATCAGTGGTAGTATGACTCCGACTTGGAGAGGAGATGAATGTGTAGCTTAGTCACAGAGCACTTGCCTAGTCTGAGGCCCTGGGTTCAATCCTTAGCAGTGAACCCGCCCCCCCAAAAAAAAACAAAAGTCAAGTTGTATAAAGAATTTTTAAAAATTTAATTTATTTGGTGTTTTGAGACAGGGTCTCACCAAATACTTTAGGCTGGCCTTGAACTCACTATGTAGCTCAGGCTGGCCTTGAACTGCAGCAGTCCTTTTGCCTCAGCCTCCTGAATTCTGGTGTGCCACCATGCCCAGCTCAAGAAATGATTTTTTTTTTGTCTTTTTGAGACAGGGTCTTACTATGCAGTTCAGACTGGCCTTAACCTCACTTTGTAGCCCAGGCTGGTCTCGAACTTGCAGTGATCCTCCTGCCTCAGCCTCTTGAGTGCTGGGATTACAGATATGTGCCACCACGCCTGGCTGCAAGAAACGATTTTTAAAAGTTTTTTTTTTTTTTTTTAACTTTTTTGTATGTATATATGTATGTATTTGCAGTGTTAGTAATTGAGCACCACTTTTCACTGAGCTACATCCCCAGGGTCTTGCTAAATTGCCAAATTGGAATCAAATTTGGAATCCCGTGCCTCAGCCTGCCAGAGTGCTGGGATTACACGTATGTGACACCATGTCTGGCATAGTGTTTTCAGTTGATGATGAAATTGTCTTTAAGCATTCATTATAGTTTTTGGCAAGAGTACCTTATGCGAAGGTGTTTTATAATCCTGCTAACATCAGGGACAATCTAAGGCTGATTAGAGATTTCAGAGATTTTCATGCCTGTACTTGTAGCACTTGGGAGCTGAGGCAGGAAGACCTCAAGTTTGAGGCCAGCCTGGGTACAATCCTGTTTGTCCCCAAAATAAGAGATGTCAGAGATCAGTTTCGTCTGTTACCCTGAAAATAAATTTTTTTTTTCTGGTACCGGGAATCGAACTCACGACCTTGCGCTTGCCAGGCACGTGCTTTGCCGCTGAGCTAAATCTCCAGCGCCCCTGAAAATAAGTATTGTGGTCCCACTGTACAGACGGGAGTCTGAGCCAAAGAGGTTTTGCACTTTTCTTTTTTTTTTTTTTTTTTTTTTGGTTTTTCTCTGGTACCAGGAACCAAACTCATGACCTTGCGCTTGCCAGGCAAGCGCTTTGCCGCTGAGCTAAATCCCCAGCCCCTGGTTTTGCACTTTTCAAGGTCTTTTGTAACTCAAGCCCTTGGCCTCCCCACTCTGGCGGTGCTTCCTAGCTCACAGCGCACAGGTAGAGCAGCAGTGGTGCTGCTCGCAGAAGGCACAGTAAAGAGCCCTGGGATCTCTTCCTTCTCCTAGCTGCAAGCTTTCTTCCTGGTGACAGATGATATCATGGATTCATCCCTTACCCGGCGGGGACAGGTCTGCTGGTATCGGAAGGTAATGTGGGCAGGCACAGGCCCTCCTCCATGGGGAGGTGACTGCATACAGCCTGGTGGTGGTGTCTGGGGGTGACAATTCTAGGTAGAAAGGAAGGGCAGAGGTGAATGACTTGTTTTTCTGTGCCCTAACAGCCAGGCATAGGTTTGGACGCTATCAACGACGCTCTCCTTCTGGAAGCCTGTATCTACCGCCTGCTGAAGTTCCACTGCCGGGAGCAGCCCTACTACCTGAACCTGCTTGAGCTCTTCCTGCAGGTGCGCTGTTGGCCAGCACCTGTGCCCAGAGATTGCCACAGTGGCCTTGGCCTGGATTCCTGACTGCCCCACTGTCACCTTGGACGGGGCATGGGCTGCAAGGCCCCGGATGTCAGCGTTCTTGAGTCTAGAGAAACCCTGGCTCATGGCCATGTTCCTTTCCCTTAGACTGCCTATCAGACAGAGGTCGGGCAGACTCTGGATGTTATCACAGCCCCCCAGGACCATGTGGATCTCAGCAAATACACTGAAAAGAGGTGAGCCTTGTGGGAACCACATCTGGCCAGTGAAGAGAGTGCAGAGTGGGCGTTGCCTTCTGAGGGGTTTATCTTCTCCCAATACTCAGGTACAAATCTATTGTCAAGTACAAGACAGCTTTCTACTCCTTCTACCTGCCTGTTGCTGCTGCCATGTACATGGTGAGTCAGCCTCCTCAGCCTCACTGCCCAGTGTGGGCTTTGGGGCAGGAAGGCAGAGAGGAAATAACTGGGACGATCGTGTACCCCCACTGAATGGCTGTGTCACCTTGTGCAAGTCACTTATTCTCTGACCTTGAACTCACTATGTAGCACAGGCAGAGCGATCCTCCTGCCTCAGCCTTCCAGGTGCTGAGATTACAGCACCACCACAGCCAGCTTTGAGTGTCTCCTCAGCTGTAAGATCAGGATCAGATTCCTGCCTCACAGGATAGTAAAGATTAACCTGGCTCATGAAAGCCCTTGGTACCTAGTAGGAGCACAATGGCTTCTGTATCTGAGTATGGACAGGAGTGAGGAGCAGATAATTCGGGCTGAGGGAGAGGAGACTGGATTCAAAGGCTGTCAGTGGCATTAACTGTTTACCCTGAACTTTGTTTCCTGAAAGATGCTGGAGGTGGCAAAAAGATTAGGAAGAAGGGTCATAGTGACACAAGGGCCTCCAGAACGGCTTCATCTGGAACCCATTCCAGATGGAAGAATTCCAGCCAAAATAAGTGGTAGAGCGGTTGGAGTGTTGGTCAGGACTTCTGGATCAGGAAGGGCAAGGGTGTCTGGAAGGAGAGACCCTTGGGGGTGGCAGTAGGTGGAACCCTACTGGAGGCAGCAGGAAGATGAGGCAGTGTGGTGCCTGCTCCCCCTTCCCTGCAGGCCGGCATTGACGGGGAGAAGGAGCACAGCAATGCCAGGAGGATCCTGATGGAGATGGGCGAGTTCTTCCAGATCCAGGTAGAAGGTCCAAAAGAGGCCGTGGCAGCAAATGGGCCTCAGCTGTGCTTCTGCCCTGTCTCACCCTCACCCTTCCTTTGCTGTTCCTGTCCAGGATGATTTCCTTGACCTCTTTGGGGACCCCAGTGTGACGGGAAAGATTGGCACTGACATCCAGGACAACAAATGCAGCTGGCTGGTGGTTCAGTGTCTGCAGCGAGCCACTCCAGAGCAGCGCCAGATCTTGCAGGTGTCCAGGAGCGGGCCTGGGATCTCTGGGCTGATGAAGGGGGTAGACACCGGGAGTGGTGGCACACACCTGTATTCCCAATTCTTGAGAGGCTGAGGCAGGAAGATCACTGTGAGTTCGAGGCCAGCCTGAGCTCCACAGTGAGTTTAAGGGCAGCCTGGACTACATAGCAAGATCTTGTCTCAACAAACAAAAAAACAAACGAAAAGAGAGGGTAGAGCAGTGGTGGTTCTCAGTTGAGTCAGGGACATCTGGCAATGACAACAGGTAATTTTTGTCATCACAACTTGAACACGTGCTAAAGGTGTCTAGTGGGTAGAGGCAAGGGGTGCTGCCAGACATTTACAACACAGAATAGCTCACCCAGACCATGATCTGGCTCAAAATTTCAATGTTGTCGAGGTTGAGGAACCCTAGGTAGAGGAAGGTGGGCCCGAGGCAGTGTCTTAGCCTTCGGGCTGTGAGAGCAGAAGCTGGCGATCTGACACTGCAAAGACACATTTTAGAAATTGAGGATGAGGGAGTGCAGAGGCCTTGAAGGCTCTGGTGAAGCCTGAGTCTATTGTCCTGCCTCTGATGCTTTCCAGGAGAATTACGGGCAGAAGGATGCCGAGAAGGTAGCCAGGGTGAAGGCGCTGTACGAGGAGCTGGAGCTGCCGGCTGTGTTTGCGCGGTATGAGGAAGACAGCTACAATCACCTCATGAGCCTCATCCAGCAGCACGCCGCGCCGCTCCCCCCAGCCATCTTCCTGGCGCTGGCCAACAAGATCTACAGGCGGAAAAAGTGACCTGGAGACCACAGGGCAGGGAGGGAGGGAGGGGCTCAATAAATTATCGTGTGATCCTATTGTGCTTGTTTTTGCTCTTGCGACTGGCTCTGTCCAGAATCTGGCAGTAAGGGGGGCGGGTGGCTGTGCAGAAGCCAGGCCTAGGGCCAGGGGCGTTGTCCTCCAGCCCCTTGGGAGGTGAAGTGACCGGGGTCTGAGTAGGTGACAGGTGTGACGTCAAGTTCAGGGGGCGGGTCTGAGCTACGCCACGGCTTTGCGTGAAGGGATGCGGCTGCGCGCCGGAGTGGGTTGTCCTAGCGCCCCTCCCCTTTGCTCTGTACCCCGCCGGGCGGGGACCGCGGGAGCCACCAGCCCAAGGCCGGAGCGGTTCCAAGAGGACTCGGGTGAGGAGGGCTCGGCCTGCCGGTGTGGATGGGTGGGGCAGGGGAGGGAAACCTTAAAAATGAATAGAAAAGGGGTGGGGCGGTGGCTGGATGATGGAGACCGGCGCCGAGAATGGATGGATTCAGCTGGTGAGTGAGGGGCGAGGGGAACCAAGGGTGTGGGGTGCAGACCCCTAAAGAGAGGTGCTGATTCGGGAGGCCGGGCTGACGGCTCCCTCTCCTCTCCCCACCCCCACTCCCGCCCCTTTTCTGCATTCACCTGGTTCACTTCATTTCAGAGCACTGGGGCGGGGTCTTCCTGGGGTTCCTCTGGAAACGAGAGGGTGGGCTGGAGGACAGGGCCAGATGGCTGCAGAAAGGATGGGGTTCCTTCGGGGCCTTTCCTCTTCCAAGCTCCGTACCGCCACGGAGAGCCAGAGCGCAGCCGCATTCTCTGACCCGCCCTTCTCTGTTCCCCGGGGTTTACATTCAACTCCACCTGCAAGCACTGCAGTGAAAACTAATGGCCAGTCGAGGGCGATTAGCATCTCATTACAATATTTCAAAGCAGCCAGCGCCTTTCCAGGCCTGCACCCGCTGTCGCTGTTGGTCACCTCGGTGTCCTTCTTGCGGCCCGCGCCCTCCCTGGCTGGCTACATCACTCCTGTCTTCCAGGACGGCACCTGCGCTGCCAGGCAGGTGGATGCGAGAGGCCCGGTCCTGCTGGTTCTCCGGAGGCCACCCTGTCAGTGCAGGCACCATGCTGTCTCCTCAGAGGGCTTTACTCTGCAACCTCAACCACATCCACCTCCAGCACGTCTCTCTGGGCCTGCACTTGTCCCGCCGCCCCGAGCTACGGGAGGGGCCTTTGAGCACGTCCCCTCCCCCAGGCGATACCGGAGGCAAGGAGAGCAGCGGCCCCTGCAGCGGGACCCTGGTAGATGCCAACTCCAACAGCCCAGCCGTTCCCTGCCGATGCTGCCAAGAGCACGGGCCGAGCCTAGAGAATCGGCCGGACCCGACGCAGGAGGAGGAGGGTGCGGCCTCTCCTTCTGACCCCGGCTGCTCGTCTTCGCTCAGCTCCTGCTCCGACCTCAGTCCCGATGAGTCCCCCGTTTCCGTGTACTCTCGGCACCTGCCTAACGAGGACGATGCTCAGCCCCAGCCCAGCATCGTCCCCTTGGACCAGGGCTCCCCACTGGCTTTGGCGGGCCAGGACACCTGCTCCCCAGACAGCTTCTGCTGCTCTCCCGATTCCTGCTCCGGAGCGTCCTCCCCGCCTGGACCTGGCCTCGACTCGAACTGCAACGCCCTGACCATCTGCCAGGATCTCCCTTCCCCCGGCCTGGAGGAAGAGGAGGACGACGGCGGGGAGCAAGACCTCCCCACCTCTGAGCTCTCCGAGGTGGAGGATGGGAAAATCGATGCCGGGAAAACAGAGCCCAGTTGGAAAATTAACCCCATTTGGAAAATTGATACAGATAAAACTGAAGCTGTATGGAAAGTCACTGAGAACAATAACTCTGGTTGGAAAATCAACGGAAATACTAACTCTGGCTGGAAAACCGAACCTGGAAAATTCGATGGTTGGAGCAGCAACACAGGAATAACCGATTCTGGCTCGAAAACATACGCAGGGAAAACTGACGCGGGATGGAGGAGTGACGTCAGCGAGGAGCCGGCGCCACACCGGACCATCACGTCCTTCCACGAGCTGGCCCAGAAGCGCAAGCGGGGCCCGGGGCTGCCCCTCGTGCCGCAGGCCAAAAAGGACCGCAGCGACTGGCTCATCGTATTCTCGCCCGACTCCGAGCTGCCCCCCAGCGGGTCTCTGAGCTGCTCCTCCGCAGCCCCCCGTGAGATCACCACCTTCAAGGAACTCAGGTCCCGCAGCCGCGCCCCGCCCCCGCCGGTTCCGCCCCGGGATCCTCCGGCGGGCTGGGCCCTGGTCCCGCCCCGCCCTCCGCCCCCACCTGTCCCTCCCCGGAGGAAGAAGAACCGGCCCGGGCTGCAACCCATCGCGGAGGGGCAGCCCGAGGAGGGAAGGGCAGCGAGCCCCGCGGCAGGCGAGGAGGTCCCGGCCGCGCAGGAGGCGGAGCAGCCCGGCGCGCGAGAGGCCTCGGAGGGTAAGGGGGCCGGAGGAGGCGGAGGAGGGCGGGCCTCCCTCGGCCTCGCCCACGCCTCTAAGCTTCCCACCCCGCCCCGTGTCCCTGTCACTCCGCGTCACCTCCCCGCCCCGCCCCTTCTGTCTGGGAGCGCTGGGGAAGGGAACTGGGTGGGGCCTCTGGCTGGGGACTAACTCTCTGCTCCCTCTTTCTCCTGCTCCTCCTTGCCTGGCTGCGCGTCCCGCTGTCCTCCTTCCCCTCTGTGCCTGGCCCTGCCAATCCCGCCTGCAGCCGGTTCCCTCCTGCTCTCGGGGCCCCAAGTTTTCCGGTTCTCGGCCGACAGGCGCCCCCTGTTGGAGGGTGGGGGAGTGGGCGCAGCTGGGTCCCTGCTCCTGGCACCTCTGGCCGGGTGGCCCGGCGCCCGCCTGCGGCTGCTGGGGGCACAGAGCCCCCCCGAGGAACAGCTGCTTCCGGCCCGCCTGTCCCCAGTGGGAGCGTATTCACCCCCCACTCGGGGCGCCCTGCCCTGCCTGGCCAGCCCCGAGCTGGCGCTGCTGCTCTCCCCGCTCTTCCCCAGAAGTAGCACCTTCCCTGCCGCGGCCCCCCCGCCCCGCCAGGTGCCCGCCCCCCCGCCACCTCGGCCACCGCGTCCTCAGAAGGCCACGCGCTGGACCCGGAGCCCGCCGCCCGCGCCCAGGCTACGTAAGACGGACCCAGCTCGCCCGCGGCCTCGCTAGGCGCTCGTCCCGCCCACGTCGAGGCTCCGCCCCCCGCCCAGCTTTCCCTCGTAGCTTTTGCCAGCGTACTCGGCTGGGTCCCACCTTTCAAGTCGGGCAAATACCAAACAAGCTCTTCAATCCCGGGGAGTCCGGCTTCCCCCGTGCTGGCGCTGGGTGGGGTTACTGCGCACCTCACTGCGTACCCGTCACTCCCCAGGCTCGCTCTGGACACGGGGCATTGGGCTTGCCTCGGCATAGCCATGGATAGGGACCCTGGGTCACACCCGCGGCGCTGGCGCTGTTCGGGCTGCCTGCCTTGCCGCGGGAGGGTGGAGGGCGTAGCCCAGGCGCCTTTGGGCCCCGGAGGTTCCGGTCCCACCCCCGGGGTGTGTAGGGGCGCCCTCCGCCGCCTCCTCGGCGCGGGACCAGGTTTCCCCGTTCCGGCTCTTTGCAGCCTTCAGACCTGGGCTCGGCTTCCTCTGTCCTCCGCCCTGGCCCGTCTGTCCATTGGCCCCGGTTCCCCACGTGCTTCCCTCGGTCCGCGGCCCAGTCCCCTCTCGCCTCCAAGTCTCAGCCGGCCGGGCGGTGGCTCCTGGGACCCCGGGAGACTCAGGTGGGAGGTGGGGCCTGCGCCCTGAGGGAGGGGCCTGGGAGCCGAGTAGGAGGCGGAGCGGGCTGAGGCTGCAGGGTTTCAGGCCGGATGGGCCGGGATCTCCGCGCAGCTCGAGGCCCTGTCCCCTGCTTCTCAGGACTCCTTACGGCAGGTCCCTGTGTGGGCGCCGGCGTCCTCGGGCACCCTCGGTAAGGTCACTGCGTCCTTTTTCCCTCACCCAGTGCGTAGTTCCTGGACATTCGCCGGTGTCCCCGGGGCCCAGCGCCTGTGGATGGCAGAAGCCCAGAGTGGAACTGGTCAACTGCAGGAGCAGAAGAAAGGTCGGTTGAGCTGACTCCTGGCCTCCGGGTTCCCGTGACCTGCCTTTCAGGCAGGCGTCCCCTTGGGCTTTAAGGGTCTAATGGCACAAACCAGCCACTCCACGCCCTTTGGGTGCCTCTTCCTGGAGAGTGGCTGTTTTGAGGTCTTCCCTTCCTGGTCCTTCCCCAGGTCTTCTGGTAGCTGTCAGCGCCTCAGTGGACAAAATCATCTCTCACTTTGGGGCTGCCCGGAACTTGGTTCAGAAAGTAAATGTGGCTGGAGGGAGGGTGCTGGGGATGCGCAGATTCCTGTGGTTGGCGGGGAGCACTAGTGGGCTCTGGCTGGACAGTCTCAGGACCCCCTCACTAGCGTCTCGCTGCCTCCAGGCCCAGTTGGGAGATAGCCGGCTGAGCCCGGATGTGGGGCACCTGGTGCTGACTACCCTTTGCCCGGCCCTCCACGCCCTGGTGGCTGACGGGCTGAAGCCTTTCCGGAAGGACCTCATCACCGGGCAGCGCAGGAGCAGCCCCTGGAGCGTGGTAGAGGCGTCTGTGAAGCCAGGTGAGTGGAGAGGGCCTGCACCCCGCATGAGCAGGGCTGGGGCCTTGCTCACCGTGCCTCCTGTCTGCAGGGTCCAGCACCCGGTCCCTGGGATCTCTGTACAGCCAGGTCAGCCGATTGGCCCCGCTGAGTAGCAGCCGCAGCCGGTTCCATGCCTTCATCCTGGGCCTTCTCAAGTGAGTGGCCAGTGCGGCATCGTGGGGGACATAGTAGTGGTGTCCTATGTACTCAGAGAAGTCCCCATGCTCATACTTCATTCCCTACCCCTAGAGGGCTGTAGTCTCCACCCCCTTCAGTTTGCCTTCCCTCCTTTCTCTCAGCACCAAGCAGCTGGAGCTGTGGTTTTCCGGTCTCCAGGAAGATACAGGTAGGTCAAAAGCTCCAATGAGAGAGGATGGTTTTTGAGCCGGGAGGGAGAGGGAAAGGGATCCTTCCTGCTGCCTCCCACTGATCTGAGAATACAAATCTAGATCTCTGATTTTGTTCTGCTTTCTTCTTAGAACTTCCAGGGGAAGAAAGACTCAAAGCGTTGTTGTTGGGGCCCTGACTTCTTCCCCTGCCTGAAGTTCAGGGCTTTCTTGTCAGCAGTTTTCCGGTGTGGTCCTCTGTGGCCCAGGGCTGTACTGATGCTGCCCCTATACCTTGAGTAGGCCTCCCCCGCTCCTGCCTGTTCACTGGCTTTCATTCATCCTGTGAGCCTCCTTCCAGAGGCTCCTGAGGCTTCCTGTCCTTTTGCTTACTGTCCTATTATTCCTCTTACCACCACTTGCTCTTCAAGCATCTTGCTCTGGAAGCGGTGGACCACATGGGCAGGGATGTGTCAGTCCTGTGGCCCCCCAGCCCCTCGCGCCTCAGAGTGAAGCCTAGAGAGGTGTTTGTTGACTGTGGGGCTGAAGTGGGGGTCCTTTGGGCCAGGGCTCAGGGTGGGAGTGATGTGAGTCTCTCTTTCCCAGGCCTGCTGTCCCTCCTGTATCTGCCCACGGGATTCTTCTCCTTGGCTCGAGGTGGCTGCCCGTCCCTGTCCACAGAGCTGCTGCTCCTGCTGCAGCCACTGTCGGTGCTCACCTTCCACCTGGACCTGCTCTTCGAGCACCATCACCACCTGCCCCTGGGCCCACCGCAGGCCCCTGCCCCTCCAGTCCCGCCCCCGACGCTGCAGCAGACCATGCAGGCCATGCTGCACTGGGGCGGTCGGCTGGCCCAGAGTCTCCGGGGTGCCTCTGAGGAGGCTGCTCCCGATCCTTCTGCCCCTTCAAGTCCTCCTCCACCAGGCAGCTGGTGGGAGCAGCTGACCCAGGCCTCCCGGGTCTATGCCTCTGGGGGCACAGAAGGCTTCCCTCTTCCCCGGTGGGGACCCAGGCGTCATGGAACTGCAGCTGAGAATGCACAGGAAAGACCCCAGCCCACAGAGGAAGCAGCACCGGTCAGAGGCGTGTGGCTTGGGAGACTGTTTGGTGTGCCAGGGGGGCCCACAGAAAATGAGAGCGGAGCCCAGAAGTCCAGGTATTGGAGAGCTGTGTCTGCTCCATAACCCTCTGACCCTATCTCAGAACCCCCTGTGGCCTCATTTGAAACTCTAGTGACTCATGATGCTTTAGGTAAGAGGTCAGTTGGCGATTTTTTTTTCTTTCCTTTTTGAGACAGGGTTTCACTATGCAGTTCAGGCTGGCTTTGAACTCATTTTGTAGCCCAGGCGGGTCTCAAACTCACAGTGATCCTTCTGCCTCAGCTGCTTCAGTGCTGGGGTTACAGGCGTGCACCACCACACCTGACCTAGTTGGTGAGGTTAACAGCCATGAACAACAAAAAAATTTACTGATGCCTGCTCTAGGACTTGACACTGGTGGGCCTTTAATAGCTTCAGGTATTGGCTTAGGACCTTCTGAATCTTTCTGAGCCTGCAGACTCTGCTGGTCCTGTAGGTCCCTTGTGACTCTCCATATTTTAAGACATTTGTCATCTCCCTAATCACCGATAGGTACTTACGATCCACAACTGCTACTCTGTCCTATGTAGTGCCAGCTCCTGACCTATTAGAGATAGTCAGGGCCCTCAGCCTCTTTTCCGTCAAACCCTGGGTTCTGAGTGACCTCTGTGACCGTTTTTTTCCTCCCAGGAGACCATCCAGCTGGCTCCCTCCAACAGTGAGTGTATTGGCTTTGGTGAAGCGGGGGCCACCTCCTGAGTCTCCTCCCGAGGAGCTTGTGCCCTCAGCACCCAGCACGGTGCCGGCCCACAGGTGAGGACTGGGGAGCTGTCTGTGTGTAGTTCTGTTTTTGTTGTCAGAGTGGGCAGAAGGGAGTGTATTGGGCTTTAAAATCTGAGCAGTTTGCATTGCTATTTGCTTTTCCTATTTACTACTGGTGTGGCACTCATTTGAACCTTATTTCTTTCTCTGTACAAAGAGAATAATTTATCATACTTTTGTTATGGTTGCTCTGAAGATAAAACAATTTTAGAAAAGCATCTGGCACAAAGTAGATGTGTGTACATTGAGGAACCGTGTCTCTTTAGTGGAATTTTCAAATTTGTGCTTTGAGGTTTTCTGTGGGTTCTCCCAGTACACTGAACTGAGTTCTTGATTTCTCATTTGTCTAGCAGTGTTTTTCAGGTGCTTCCTTTGTGCCACATGTTATGCCAGGGGGGACTACAGGTCAGCATATTGGAGTCTGTGCTCTCAGAGAGCTTGTGGTGCAGTGCAGATACAAGTTAATAGATGAGGAAAGGCCATGTCCCAGGCTTTCAAGGGACCCAAGGGAGGCTTGGTGATGGCATGAGAATATGCATCTGGCTGGAGGAATAGGAGGCAAAGGCCAGGAAGCACAGCGTGGTTGGGAACTGTGAATACATGATGGAGGGGTCCATGGTCCAGCTAAGGAGCCTGGACTTTATCTGGAGTCAGTGGGAGCCCCTGAAGGCTCTTAAGCTTGATTTGCTGGCTTGTTTTGCTAAGATCTCTGACTGCTATGTGGAGAAAATAGATTGTGAAAGATGCATGGAAACTCGCTGATGGATGTACTGTGGTCTAGAGGGAGAGGATGGAGGCCAAAACTAGGATACTGGGCTGGGGATTTAGCTCAGCGGCAAAAAGCGCCTGCCTGGCAAGCGCAAGGTCGTGAGTTCGGTTCCTGGTACCGGAGAAAAACCAAAAAAAAAAAAAAAAACAAAAAAAAAAAACTAGGATACTGAATTGAAGACAGTACTGGAGTTGTAGGATATATGGACATCAAACAAGTTTTGGTGATAGATTGGAGGCAAGGACTAAGATGCCTGCATTTTGGCAGGAACAACTGAGTTGAAAGTGGAGCTGTTTATCACTGTCAGAGACATGAAAAGGGACTGGTTGAGAGTATTAGGAGTCATTTGGTTTGCCTATGTTAAACATGAAGCACCAGAGAGAAGTGTAAATAGTGTCAAATAAGCAGCTGGAGACTGGGTTTGGTGCTCAGGAGAGGGCTGGGGCCCTGGAGAGAAGCAGCATGTTGATGGAGGCCTTCAAGTCTGTCCAGGGTCCAGAGCTGACTGAGCTGAACCAAAAGTGGGAGGCCAGGACAGCGGAGGACTGCCACCTTTCATCCCAGCATCTTCCTCTGCCCTTCTCAGGGCAGTTCGGGCCCTCTGTGACCACACTGCTGCCGGACCTGACCAGCTGAGCTTCCGGAGAGGGGAAGTGCTGCGTGTCATCGCCACAGTGGATGAGGACTGGCTCCGCTGTGGGCGGGAGGGCATGGAAGGGCTGGTGCCCGTGGGGTACACCTCCCTTGTTCTCTAGCCCTGGATCCTTTCCTGCATGTCTCTCCTGTCACCTGGGAAGGACATGGCCCATGATTATTAATCTATGTAAACTAACCATCCCAGAAGCATTTTTTGCTGCTTGCAAAATATTTTCCACATCCATTTCTGCTATTTAAAATAAATGTTCCTTCTTCCCTCCATGCCCATCTGTAAGGTGAAATCTGCTCTTTCAAAGATGTAAGAAGGAGTACTCCATGCAACTTCTTTCTTCTTTCCATGTGTCAGGGAACATCTCCCTATCTGCAGAATGGAATCTGGCCCCCTTCCCCTCTTCATCCCTAAGTGGACTGTGCCAGTTGAACACGCCTCAACCCACAAGCCTACACAGGGCGCCAGACCTCCTTCCTCTGTATGGAATCTGACTCCCCCATACGTACCTTGCCTGTATTTATGATGTACTCATGTTGTGCTAGCTGCTGAAGCCTGGACACCCCTGGTGGGTGAGCCTATGGTATTTGTCTATTTCCTCTTTTGTCCCAATAAAGTATGGGAGTTGAATGTGTGTGTCATTGTGGATTTTAGGACATAGGCTACTGGGTAGATCCTGTTACTGGAGGCTCTAGGCAGAGGCTTTCTTCCTAGTGCAGGGGCAGTATTTTTCAGTCCTAGTGATTAAATCCAAGGCCTTCACATTTAGCTATATCTCCACCTACTTTTAAAAATTCATTTTATTTTATTTTATTTTTTGGTTTTTCTCCAGTACCGGGAACCGAACTCATGACCTTGCGCTTGCCAGGCAGGTGCTTTGCTGTTAAGCTAAATCCCCAGCCCCTCTTTTAAAAATTTAAAATTTGCTAGATAACATTAAGTTGCCCAGGGTGGGCTCAAACTTGCAATCCTCCTACCTCAGCCTCCCAGAGTGCTAGGATTATAGGCGTGCAGTACACCACCACTCAGGCTTAGGTGTTTTTTTTTTTTTTTTTTTTTTTGTCTTTTTGAGACAGTCTCACTATGCAGTTCAGGCTGGCCTTGAACTCATGGCGATCCCCCGGCTCAGGTGTGTGCCACCACACCCAGCTAAGTGCTTGTCTATTCTCAGATTTTTGTTAGACTGGTATGACAGAAGCTTGAGTAAAAATGAGGGAATACTTAGCCCTTGAAATTATGCTTTTTAGGTGGAGGGAAGGAATAGTATTGCAAAAAGTGACAATTTTTTTGGCCTAGCATCCTGCATGCTTGGCCAGCGTATACTATGCCATTCCCCACCTCGACACCATTTTTCTCTATTTAATATTGCTACTCTGAAAAAAAACAAAAAAAACAAAAAAAAACCAAACTATTGCTACTCTGTGGTGATATACATTAAGTAAAAGCATTTGATATCTATTACTTTTTTTTTTTTTTTCCCCTGGTACTGGAAATCTAACTTACGACCTTGTACTTGCCAGGCAGGCACTGTGCCGCTGAGCTAAATCCCCAGCCCCTTCTATTACTTTTTTAGGAGTTGAAGAGGCTCCTTTCAACCTTTGGAAATAATGACAAGAGCTAAGACATTGTAGAGGCCCAAGGATGGGGGTGGGAATCCCTAATGGATTTAAATAGAAATAAAAAGGTGGAAAGAATAGACAGCCCTAATTATAACCAGGCAGCTGGAAAGTTAGAGAAAAACTGGAACCAAGTTGAAGACAAAGGGATGGTTAACAGAGGGGTCTTGGGGAGATAATCTTAAGACTCAAAGCTGTGCAAGTAGGAGCAGGGCTGGCTAGACTTTTCCCTGTCCTTGGCCAGTTCATGTTACTGATCTGCTCTTTGCTTTAATTTTGCCTCTATATGATCTTTCAACTTCAAAACTGTGCATTTCAAGTGTTCTCTAGATTAATGTTTTTCAAATTGAATTCTGAGGGCCTCTGGGAATCCCATTACAGAGGAGTTTAGGTTCTTGAGTTTATGAAGCTCCTTCAATCCTAAACTATTACCACAAATGAAGTTATATA